CAACAAAGAAAAGAGCAAAAAAGTGAAATATAAAATAAATAAAAAAACATTTTGGTTTGCCGTCGATGAACGACACGACAAGTCGGCGACGGAGACAGGAGACAGGAGGGCCCCAGGAACCAGCCGAAAGATGAATAGATACTATGTACGCTCGCATTCGTATCTATAGATTGTATAGATGTCTATGCAGGTCGACTGGCCTGGCCACGGACTGGGATCCGGACCAGGCCCCCCCGACTATTACAGAATTTTTACTGCCGCATCCGAGAGCACGTCTCTAATATTCTATTTTTGAGTGTAGTTCTTCTTTTCTAATTTTTTGCTTCTATTTTGTATTGGATTCTGGTCTCTCCACGTCCACGAGGCAACACACGATTCCCCCACCCCCCTAGTTTTCCACACACGAAAATAGCAGACAAGAGTCCATATACTAGAAACCGTAGAAAGCGGTTGAAGCATGAGCAGAAAATACGCTTAAAATGTCATTTAATTGTTTCACTTCAAATGGGAGTGTGTGCTGTTTTTTTCGTAGTCTTCTTTGGTATTGTCAGCTTTTGGCTTTTGGCTTTTCGGGTTTTCCGCTTTTCTTGCTGCAAAGCCTTATTTTGGCTTCGCTTTTTAATTGTGCTTTAAATGCTAATTAGCTTCTGTGCGCACCTATCAGTTGGCCTATCCATTCCGCTTTAATGCACTTTATTTAATTAATTTTTGATGTCGCATGTGCCCTGGCGGCCGCCTATGCGGGAATCGTGAATAGGGATTGGGCTCGGTATCCCCCCCCCCCTAAACATTATTCTTTTGTGTCGCATTTTCGGGACATTTATTTTCGTTGGCGCCTCCTAGTTTTCAATTTGCCAGTCCACAAATTACACTGCGCCACACAACAAACACACAAACACACACTCACACACACACGCACACCTTTAGCGGATGCACTTTTGGAGGGGCGTGCAGAGAGAAACACTCGTACCGTACCGGGAACTCGGAAGCTGGGACTCGACTCTGAACACGTCCGCGGTGCGAATTATTATTGTTACTCGGTCGCTCGCTAGCTCGGTGGTGGCTCTCGACGCATGCCGCACCAAAAAGTTCGCGAAAGCAGCAAAAGTTCCTCTTGCTCTTTGGATATGCTCTTCTTTCATGGAAAATGGAAAAGTGATGACACACACATACATAAAAGCATGAGTTGTGTTTGTGTACCTGCTGTCCCTGCCCAACGCCCACTCGCACAAACACTCTCAGACGCTTATAAATTAGTTCGAATAGCCACTGGCTAATCACGTATTCTTCCCTCCCCAAAGGCATCCAAGTCGAAGAAACGATAAATATTCAACACTCACACTCGCACACACTATGTAGTGGGGGTGGTGCGCTAAACCACCTAATTAACTACAAAACAACGATCCGATATATGTACTAGATTGCTCCACCTATGGCTCTATATACATCACACACTAGTGGGCCACACAAACATGTACATACATATATTTATATGCATGTTTTTCTAAATATTGAACATTTATATTTAGACTTTTGGAAAGCAATTTTAAAACAGCTCGTATACCTTGGAGTGCCTTGGAGTCCCACTGTTTTGTCGCCTACTTATAACAGTTATTTTGGTGGCCATACTTTGCGGGAGGCTACTCTGCGATCTTTCTGGAAGCTTCAGCCGCTCTCAGTGCGCTCTCCCTCTCCCTCTCTCTGTCTTAAGCTTAGGTATTCCCAAAAAATATAAAGTGCATCGTTGCACATCGAAGTGACTCAGTAAGCATCAAAAAACAATTTCAATTCGCGTTGTTTCATGTCCAGCATTAGACAAGCTTCTATCAACACAAATTGGATATTTTTGGTTCGTTTTAGTATTTCGCATTGTTTTATTTTGTTCCATTTCGTATGTATGAATGTGTTTGTGTGTTTTGGTATATTTAGTTTATATTTGCTTATATTTTTGGAAATTCTGTTTTGCCATCAAGAACAGTAAAATCGGTAAGCAGCAACAACTTAATACCGTAATTTTGTGCCATGTGTGTTGCCTCTCCCGCTGTCTCTCGCTCTCACGATTTATGGTTTGATGAAGCGCATTCGCACTTCACAAGTTCATGTGCTTTCGGTTCGTTCAAGCACAACAATTAGTGCATCAAATTTGTTTCCACGCCATTCTTCCTCTCCACTTTTCACACTCTTAACCCCTCCCCCCTCCCGCCTGTGGCTTGGACACACTAAATTCAACCCATGCACAAAAAAGCTCATTCGGCAGAGAGCACCTGACAGGCAACTAAGCGGCCTGCCAGCCAGCCAGCTCTTCTGCATTCATCGCCTCTCTCCGCTCTCCACTCTCCACGCTCCACACTCTACGCGCTGCTTGTTTTTCTTTAGTATTTCACGCTAGAAAACCAAGCAAAAATAATACTTATGATTGTGAATGATTAATGGCACATTAGAATTGAAATTGTTGTTGGTCGTTGCGGAACAGGCAGCGGAATCGGGATAGGATAGGAATCAGCCTCAGACTCAACCGTGCTAAGCGCAGCAGAGCAGTCAGTATATTTGGCATATAAATATTTGCCCCCAAGAACATCCTCCCTTCATCAGCCACTATGTTACGACTATGTACATATGTATATATATGTATGTATTTTTTTTTTTTACATATGTGCTTTACCAGCTGGCTTCTGGCTGCTGGCTGCTGCCTGAGTGGAACAGGTGAGTGTTTATAATGTATCGCATATGCATGGCAAAAAAAAATAAGAGAAATATTCTGCAAATATGCATACATATTCAAAGATGTATTCGCATGGACTTTTTGTATTATTTCGGCTGCCAAGTGTCCTTGGGGGCCACGATGCGTTATGACGGAAAGTCAGCCCAACCCAGCAGCTCCCCATGTCCCAGTCCCAGTCCCAGTCCCAAACCGAACTGAAGTGAACCGCAACGCATCTCACTAAGCCCCACAACCTGAAAACCCCAATTCAAGTTAAAATCCAAAACGAACTTTGGCAAATTGCAAAAGCCACAAAACCAAAACATTTCGTCGCCTGCTGCTGAAGTTTGTGCTGCTTCTTCTGCTTGCTTTTTCTACTGCTTCTTCGTCTACTGCTTCCACTGCTTTTTCTACTGCTTCTTCTAGAGCTGCCTGTTGCCTGACTCACGTATTGTCAATGGGGCAAATAGAATCCCCAAAGAAAATCGAAGCACAGCCAAACACCCACACACTGAGCACGAATTGTATTTTTGCAGACAAAACTTCGGGATTTTGTTTCTTGTACTTTTTTCTCAGTGCACCCGACACACACTTGGGGCCAAAGAGTTGGCAGAAATTTCTTAATAAAGTTTAATGACTGCGGGGCTGGGTGGCATGTGTTGTCTTGTGTTTGTCACTTTGGCTTTGGGTTTTGGCTGCAAGTGCAACTTTGATGGACTCGGATAACCTGGCATGGCATCGCATGGCCGTGGCGCCTCGAATTATGCAACAACTTGTCGGTAAAGTACTTTTGACTACCTGCAGGCGGCCCGACAAATTCACCTCCCAGCCACGGCACCAAAACGAATGAGGCCGTTTGGGTTTTGGCCTATAATTTACTTGACCATCACGTACGAGAGTCACGCACGCCCCTCGTCTGATTGCAGGCAGGCTGGGGATGGCCATCATGCAACAAGCTTTGGGGGTCAATATGCGAGACAACTCATGCATTACTTATGATACGACCCCGAGGATGTATACAAGGTATCTTAGTTGCTCGCCACTTGCGGCATGTTCCGAGATTCTAAATTGCAAAGATTCAAATCAAATTCAAATCAGACAAACGAGCGCGCAACTGGCTGGCAGGCAGCCCCTTTCATTTGCATTTCGATTGACTTTCGGTACACATATTATAGTGGTAGTGGCATTGAGAAATCGAATATGTCCATAATTAATCTGGGTTCAGTGCTGCGCGGCGAAAACTAAGTGGTTTTCGGGAAGGTAGTGTGCACTGCTTGCGCGGAAGCGGCCGAAGATTTATCGTGGAAACCTCTTTCTTTAACGACTATGAGAGGCAGTTCAAAGGGTTCTAGGGGATGTGTGATGGGCTCCAAAATGTGCGACACATTACGTCCCAACTTGTGCTTTTTGGCAATCTTCTTCTCACTTTCATTCCATAATTTTACCATATTCCCCGCGCTTTCTTGGCGAAATTGTCGTACAGAACAGCAGCCCATAAACTACACCCTTCGCAGTCGTTGCCGCATCCTCATCCTCATCCGCATACATATCGGTATCCGTGTGGCCATTGCCATATGCAGGTCTTCCTCCACATAGTGAGACGTGAATGTTTCAGCCTCCTCCTTTGGCTTGACTCCTTGGCCTCTTTTTTATGCGATACGCTGCGGTTTCTGCTCCTTAATGGTTTGGGCCCATAAAAAAGGGAGGGTGCTCCCCACCCGAAGAAGAAGCCCTCACGTTTACCGCACTGCCGGGCCATCGCTTTATTTAACTGCCGGACTTGTTTGCGCCAAATTAACACATTTATTTATGCCCACAAATTTGTTGCTTAAATATTTATTGAAAGAGCGAGAGAGAGAGAGAGAGAGAGAGAGCGAGAGGCGTAACATTAAAAAGTGTTCGTTTATTTTTCATATACAATAAGTACGCGTACAGCACACACATAAACATATGTTATACACAGATACATAATACATAATACATATACATAATACTCGTACATGCATAGCCAGATCCAATATCCCATATTCCATATTCCATATTCTTCCAATACACAAAAACACATATACATATACACACAAACAGACATACAGACACAGACAGACAGAAACGATATGGCCCGCACACACACAAACACACACACACGCACTCCACTCGCTTGGCATCGGGGGTGGGGCCGCAGGCATAATTGAGAGTAAATTAGCGCTATATTTGTATATAGGAATTGCTGAGCTGAGCCAGTGAGCGGCAAGTCATCCTCCGTACTCCGTACTCCGTTCTCCACTCTTCCTCCTCCTCTCACTATTCTTTTTTCTTTTTTGATATGTTACTGGCTTAAACGAGAAACGCTTAAATTCGCTGGTTGCGGGTGTTGCTGCTGCATTGCCCTCTGCTGCTGCTGCTGCTGCTGCTGCTACCCCACAACATGCTTTGCAGGCCATAAAAAAGCACAGCCAACAGACAGCAGCACCACCATGGACATGATGGCAGTGCGGACATGGCCGAACGGCCCTGCAATGGCAGCTGCTCCTGCTCCAGGCACAGCCGGAACTCGTCGTAGTCGAGGCGCGTGATGGCGCAGTAATGATTGAGCATGCACAGGCCCTGGCAGGGCGTACCAGACTGATATCGCACGGCATTCGCGCGGTGGTATCTGCAGAAGAAAGAGAGAGCAGAAAGAAAAAACAAAACAAAACAAAACAGAGAGGAGTATCAGTAAAGGGTAACTAAGGGAGAGCAGCAGCTACCCTGGAAAAGGGTTTGGCTTTAAGGTATATATATTCCCGCACGAGCTTTGGCAGGGAAGCTTTATTTTCTCTTGGAATTTCATAGCAAAAGCTCTGCAGTTCCATTAGCACTTGCTGCCCTGTCAACTCTCTTGCTCAATATACCCTTCTAACCGCTGACACTTTGCGGGGTAACACGTCAATCAACGAAAAAGAAGACAACTATAATTGCTGTCCAAACATTTACCTGGTGAACCAGGAGGCATCGGTGCCCGTGAAGCGCTCCGCAAAATTGTGCAATGCCAGCGCAGAGATCTCGGACAGGGCGTAGTAGTGTGTCAGATTGTATTCGGGCTGCCAGAGTGGCTCCTGGGCACGATTGGCCAGTGGCAGGTCCAGCCAGAATTGGCTGTAGTCCAGCACCTGGCCGCTGCCCGTATCGAATTTGTAGAGCCGCAGGGCGGGATTGTTGGAGGCGCCAATGCCCGCTTTACGTGGCACAATCGAGGGGGCAATCATCAGCCACGAGATGGGTTGGCCTGCGGGGATGGGTTTCGAGATGGTTAGATGAACAGTTAATTATGTTAATATCTGGCCGTACCTTGAGCATCGTAGAACAGCCGAAAAGTGTCCGAGTGCAGGTGGCCAAAGAACTGTCCCTGTATGACCGATGCATAGCGTCGCACCATCTCCAAATATCTCCGATTGTTGCGCTCCGTGAAGATTAACTGATTGTGCTGCTGCGCACCCAGATGTCGCTCATCCACACCCGGCGGCATGTGGCCCACAATGTAGACCTGCCAGTAAAATTAAATAAAACAATTAATCAAGGATAATCAGACGACTGACACCGCGTGACACCCCGGTGCCACTCCTCAAACATTTATTTACGAGCATTCATATTTGCATTCCGCGGAAAATCCGCTTAAATATCTTGTTAATATTGAACAGATTTCAGCTGTAATATTGTGTAAATTTTAATGCATGAAATTGGACAACGGGAAACGGAAAAGGCGTCAAATAAATTTAAACAATTATCTGTGGAATTATTATAGGTATATATTATTATGCTATGAATTTGGACTTTCATACACTTTCCGTGGGCAATTAACTGAAACTCCTTTTTACCTTGATTTAAATAGGATTTCTGGCTCCAAAATATAAAAGTTTTCCCTTGACTTTTCACGCTTACCGTTTCCTGTTTATCCCGCGACTTGGACAGCACCTCCTCCAGCCACAGCCACTGCTGTTCGGCCAGCACCTCCTCCTGTGCGGACATGGAGCTAACGCTGGCCTTGGGCTCCGCATAGTACTCCACCGGCCAGCGCAGGCTGTGCGATGCCTTGGCATCCGGTGGATCATGATCCAAACGCATGAAGTTCGTATTGAGTGCCACGATGCGCAGGCGGCTCTTTGTCTGCTCGATGGAGTAGTAGCCGCCCTGGTCGAAGGTCACCAGCGCCTCCGAGGGCAGCCAGTGGCGCCAGAGTTCGCCCATCTTTTGGTAATTGGCGCTGCCATCCTCGTGACCCAACACCGGAAAGATGAACTGCGATGAGAAGCTGCGTCCCAGCAGATCTGTGATGTTGCGCAAGATCTCGTGCTGCTTTTGCTCGGACAGCGGCTGGGCGGAGTGTGAGAGCGCATCGCCAGTCCAGAGTACAAACTCAACATTGTCACCCTGCTTGGCCTTCATGGTCTTCACGGCGGACTCCACCAGGCGCCAGGGACTGTCGCAATTGTAGTGCCCAAACATGCCAGGATCCTCACTCGCTGCATTTGCATTGGAGCCGGAACTGGAGCTGGAGACGGGTCGCTCCAGCTGCCAGCAGCTGCGATAGATGTCACCCTGGGTGGAGTAAATGGTATCCAAGTGGAGATCGCTAATGTGCCAGAAGTAGCCTGCAAGAGAGAGAGAGAGAGAGAGAGAGAGAGGGAGAACGAGAGTGAGAGAATGACAGTTACAGAGAGTGAGAGCGGGAGAATGACAGTTACAGAGAGTGAGTGAGTGGGAGTGGGAGAGTTTGAGTGCGAGGGAGAGTGGGAGTGGGAGGCAGAGAGCGTGAGAGTGTGCGTGAGAGAGATTAAAGTTTAAGTTGTTTTTTTTTTCTGGGCTATTCCTATGCGCGGGAAAGGCCACCAGCCCCGGGGTTTGGGCATTTGCCTGCCTTCTGGCAGTGAAAAACCGAAAAACAGAGTTTATGTTTTTCCTGCAGCTGAAAAAGTCAGTTGACTGACCTGAAAAGCAAACACTGATCCGCGCTACAGGATCTACCTGGCGGAGGGTGTTACGGCCAGAGAGTTATTCTGTTGGGCAAAAGTCTCTCCTGTCGATCAGTTACAGTTAGCATTGGCATGCGCATAGATCGATTAAGCGGACACAAGTCGCATCTTAGGACAGAAGCGGACGACAGGACGACGAACAGTGGAGTAGACAGTTGTGACGAGTATCATCCTTTCATGCCCGGCGACAGAGCGGGCACGAGCGAAAATCAGAAACAGGGCAGCAGCTAAAAGGCACAGGACGGAGCCAGAAGCCAGTATGAACGGACGCTTTGGTCTCAGTTTGAGCTTCAGTCTGTCGCTGCTCCTAGTGGCGGCAGCCATGTCGCAAATGCTGCAGCAGGTCCATGGACGTCGCAAATTCTGCGGCGAGGCGCTCAACGAGGCGCTTGACCTGATTTGCGTCAACGGCTTCTCACGCAGGATCAAACGCAACAATTGTAAGTACCCAGAAACCACTTCCCCATCCCCCCAACCAATAGGCAATACTGTTGTGGCCCGACTAACTCTCAGTCTCAAGTGGTGCAGGCCCCGAATCCGAGTGTGGAGCGATCACAGCGGGGACCAGCCCGTAAGTGGGTCGCACTGCTGCACAAATTGGACGCCATACCACCGAGCACGGGCAAAGGCAAGGTTACACCAGGAGGTGCTGGCGGCAGCGGTGGAAACAATGGACACAACCTGCGGCGTCATCGTCGCCGTATTGCCCACGAGTGCTGCCGGGATGGCTGCACCTACGAGGACATTGTGGAGTACTGCGCCTAGGCAGAGCGAAAGCCTATGATGGGATGACTGGATGATTGACTGGATGGAGCATGGAAAGGGCACACACACACGCACACACACAAACACACGCAATGACAACACAACGACAAAAAAAAGGACGACAAACGGGGCAGCGGCTTGGACAAAAAGAAATTCCCATGGGATGCCAACCGGAATTTCGTTTTTGCTTATTCATTTTCCTACACTTAACCCTCAAATACTTTAAAGACAACAAAATATATAAACATAAACATAATAATATCTGAAATATTTCATTGTAATATTCTTAAAGGAAGCTAATAAAGTTACTCTACAAAAAACCAACCAAAACAGCAGCAGCAACAAAAGAGAAATGCCTTCTTGCCTCTCTCTCTCTTTGCTCTTTCTCTTTGCCTTTCTGCCATTTGTTGTTTTGTCTGCTGGGCAGCCAGAGCATTCCAGCTGTGCATTGAGTGGCCCTCCCAAAACTCATTCCCAGCCCCCTGCCCATTCCATCTTCATCAACGCTCTGCGTTGCCCTTGTGCTCGTATTCCGCGAAACAATAATGAAAATTATGAATTTTTAATTAGATGACGTTGTGATTTTAATAAGAAAAACAAAAGGCAATGAAGAGAATGGCAATGAGGAAACCAAAATGGAAAATACTCGAACAGAGATTTCCCTTTCGATTTGCCAGTGGAACGTCCGTTGCTTGAGGAATAGTTGGTGAAGAAAGTTGAAGAAACCCAAGAGAGCAGCAGTTACTCTTCTTTCAGTGTTGTGTAACTCTAAACTGTGTTATGTCTCTCAGTCATTTCTGCAATTTGCACTCTCTCTCTCTCTCTCAGCAAGCTCACAGCATGCCCAAGCAATTAATTTCCAACATGGCAATTGCTGCCGCTGCCCCTGTCTCTAAGCCTCTTCAATAGTTGTGTAAGCTCTTCCAATAATAGAGAACTTTGTGCGCATCATCTTGTTGTTTCGTTCGTTCGTTTGGCAATCAAGATCCGTGCGTAATTATTATTTGTGCGATAATGTAAACAAAAGCCCAGACCACAGCACAGCACACCATCAGCTGATATGCGTAAGAAATCTCCCAAGCACCACCCACACCCACATGAGGTAAAGGGATATAAAAACAACCCACACCAAGTAAAATCGACAAAAACACAGCAGTGCCAAAGCGAAAGTAGACCAGACCATGGCCAGCCGCCGGAGCGTGCTAACTGACACATCCACTAACACAGCCTGACACTGCTCAGACGACAGGAGCGACTAGCGAGGAGCAGCAGCAGCAGCAGCAGCAGCAGCAGACACCGGATCCGTAGTTCCGAGTTGCATATAAAGCTCGCTACCGGCACTGGCGCTTCCACAGTAGTTGTGTGGCAACTAACGGCAGACACTTGTGCAGCATGCGGCACACCAAGTCGATGAGCTTACTCCTTGCCCTAATCCTCACGGTGTCGTTGGTGATGGGCCAGCAGAAGGTGATGTTTCTGTGCGGCACCGAGCTGAACGATGCACTGTCCACGATGTGTGGAAATCATGGCTACAATCGCATGCTCAAGCGTTCCTTTGGTGCGTGTGCCAGCAGCTGACCCATTGAACCTGTACATAAATATTCCTTTTGTTTCCCCTTGCAGATCCCACGGACTACAATGATATTGAGGCTGGTTTTGGCTTGGCCCGCCTGGACTTTGACGAAAGCTCGCTGCTGCATCGCATGTTTGGCGAGAGCGCCGCACAGCTGATGAAGACGCGACGTCGCCGCTTCGGAGTCTCCGACGAGTGCTGCCTGAAGCCCTGCAGCCTGCCCGAGCTGCTCAACTACTGCGCCAAGCCCCCCGGGCTGTATGTCAATTGAGGATAAACAAAAGTGAAGCGGCAGCGCATAAAAATCTATTTGTAATTATTTTATTATCGGACATAGGATAATAGCATTGTATGATGTTTGTTTGTAGGGCCATGAATATTCCAACTGTCTATAAATTATTCAAATAAATTATCCATTCAAACGGCTGCAGTTTGGCAATTAAATTCGGCAACCCAATGATTATTGCACCTAATTATTTATGAATTATTTCATCAATTTCATATGCAAATAATGCCAAATATTCCAATTGATTAGCCCCAAAAGTGCACAAAACGAATTTGTTTTGGCGTAACGGGAAAATGGAAGCCAAGACTGGAACTTAAATCGAGTCTCTAACGAGTCTGGAATGCCCTTGGTAGAGTCCAGAGTTGGATCTATGGAAATTTAGGAATTTTAACGAAACTTCAATGAGCAGTCTAGGGTTTCTTTTGGTAAACAAGAAATGTAAATAATTGATGATAAAATATACACAAATAGAAGAAAGACAAACACAAAGGTGAACCTTTTGCAGTAACTTCTATAGAAGCCTCAGAAGCCCCATCTTTGCTTTACGAACTCCCCCCCTCCCATCCTGCCTTAGTCCCACAAATGTACATAATGTGCAGCTGTTTGTATAAGTATATTCTAGCTATATTTTCGATCGTTTATAATATGTAGTTAACATGCAACAAGCCATCAAGGGGAAACATCGTGCCGTAATACTCGTGCTATCCGTGGGTAGAAACAGGGGCCAGATTGGGTTTGGTTCTGCTGCTGTGTGTGGCGAAGTCTCTAGAAGTTGGGAATGGAGCAGTACTCAGCGAGCACGGTGACGTCGCAAGCCTTGCGGCAGCATCTGTCGGCGATGCCTTCGCGTGCGCGGGCGCGGCGACTCTGGGCGGCCAGGGAGCTGAAGGCCGTCTCGCTGCCATAGAAGCGGCCGCCAAAGAGCGGATAGGGCGCCACATCCGCGGAGGAGCCCTCTTTCTCCTCCACATACTGTATGGGATCGAGGGGATCCAGTTCGGTGGCAGCAGCTATAAAAGGGGGGGGGGAAGCAGCAAAAGTGTTTTATGGGTGAAGAGAGAGAGAGAGAGAGTTGCTGCACTTACACATGCCACCGCCTCGCTTGTGGGGCAGGACACTGTTGAACTCCTTGCACACCATGGACAGCATCTCGTTCAGCTTGTAGCTGCACAGGACATGGTTGCTCTGGTCCCGCATGTACATGCCATTGTCCGCCACGACAGGGGAGAGAGTCACAGCCAGCAGCACCAGGATCACGGATATCGACACTAACTTGCTCATGGTTCAGACTGAAGGATGCTGTGAAAGCTGCTCGCAAGTGGTTCCTGTTCTAGCCTCAATTGAGCTGGGCTAAGCCGTAACTGTTGCTCTGCCTCAGCCAGCAGCTGGCTTATATAGTGGCAACTCGAATTGGGTCTGGGTTAGGGTCTAGGTCCATGAAAGGAAACCCAAAGGAAAACCATATTCATATTCATATTCATATTCACACGGCGGAGAGTGTCATTTTGTGTTAGGCAGCAAAAGACAAGTCGAGTGCATCGTTCGCTTAACTCGTTCAATGTCAACGCTGACTTATGCAAATCGTTGTGGGCTTAAAGGAAAGGTGTGTGGGTGGGTGGTGGGTGGTTGCTGTCGGCCAATTAAACAATTTATGTATAAACAGCGAGGCCGTGCTAAGCCTTTGCATTTATGAATACCAAATGAGGGCTGGTGCCCCCCCCACGTTCCCACGTTCCCAAAAACTTACCAATGCGCGCCTGTGCCAGGCCGATGAAGAGGCAAAGACAAAGGCTCAACTTGGTCATCATTTTGGCTGCTCTTTCCTTGAGGAACTTTTGCTTTTGCTTTCGTTTATTCGTTAGTCAAAGTTTGTGCTGCATAAATAAGTGATTACGAATCGGATTATGAGTGTATATAAATGGATATTTATGTATGTGTTTGTATGTGTTTGCATGTCTGTGTGTCTGTGTGGGTGAAGCTCTTCACTTGGGCAGGCAGTAGGAGGCCAGCTCTTGGTAGCTGCAGGATAAGACGCAACACTCGTCGTAGATGCCGCCCGATGACCGCTGTCTGCGATGACGTCGCGTCTGTATGAGCACCTCGGCACCATAGAGGCTGGAGAGCAGCGGACTCAGCGCAAAGGCTGCCCCATCCAGCGGCTCGCTACGCTTCTGGGGCAGCGTGTTGTAGCCATGGGCACAGACCACGTCCATGGCATCGGACAGTGCTTGGCCGCACAGCTTGTGGCTGCCCACCTGCAGCTGATGGACATGGCCGTGGCCATGGCCCTGGACGCTGGCCAGAAAGATCAGCAGCAGGAGCAGCGGCCAGCGGCGGCGGAGAGGCTCCACCTGCGACTGTACTGTCACTGCAGTTGTTGTGTCCTTGCCCGACATCCTTGTGGCTTCTGGAGTTTGCTTTTGGCTGTTTTGAGGGCATTGCAGGAGCTATTTATACGCCGAAAACTGCCACACAAAACTTCAAGCAGTTCAATGCACTTTTGGGGCAACCTGAAGCCACCCCCCTCCCCCAGGGGGAAAAAACAACTCAAACCTCACTGCTTGTGGCACGTTACTTGCCGCTTAAGAGGCTGTGACTGCTGTCGCCGGCGATTAGTGTTTGCCGCCGACAATGTGGCAGCCTCATTAGCATTAGCCAGTGGGGCGCCCGCTGATGCCTGCCAGGTGGAAAGTATGCTTCACTTGGCAGGCAGGCAGGCAGGCAGGCAGAGGAGCAGGCAGCCACTCAAGCAGTGTGCGAAATCGCTGCGTTCTGGTGGCAACAGTTGGTTGCCAGCGTTGCCGCAATCGGTTGCACACACTCGAGACTCGACTACCCCCCCACAAGCAAAGGCAACATAAAGTGCAGCATAAACGTGAACGTAACTCCTGCAGGAAGTCCAAGTAAAAATGGTGCTCGATATCAAGATGTGCCGCTTCGACAATGTGCCCTGGGGCTTTCGGCTGGTGGGCGGTGCGGACTACGATTACCCCCTAACGGTGGTTAAGGTTAGGCACGACAAAACGGAATCGAATCGAAACGGAATCCCAGTCTCCCCTCGCACCTGTGTGTTACGACCCCCCACCCCCAACAGGTGCTGTGCTTTTGTCACATTTTGCTTTGCGCTTTGGAAATAACCCGCTTTGTGGCAGTGCTTTTGTAATTAATTTCGCTTTTTCCGCTACTCGTTTTTGGTTCAATTACGTAACGATGTGCGTGAGTGTTCACGTGTGTGTGTGTCGGCGGTGTGTGTGTGTTTGTGTTTGTGTGTAATTAAAGTAATTCGTAGCAGACACGCCTCTTTTGTTTATCTAATCGACAGAGAGTCGGAAAGGGCAGCCCAGTGCCATGCATTTTGCCTGCTAATGAGCATCCGGATTCGGGGGACATCAACTTTTTCAAATTTTAATTGTGTGTTTTGGTGCCAGTTGCACTTTACAGTTCCACTTTGCAGTGATTCGATTCGGTTTTTGTTTTTGTTTCGGTTACGGTTTGTTTTGTTGGATTGGCATACTCGTAAATTGCATTTTACATTTAGCATCGCTTCGCAGCAGTTTTTGCCGTTACATTGTGTGGATAACAACAACAAGGAGAACAACAATACAGTACAATAAAGTATCCGCGTAAATCCGCGACAAATGCAATTTTTAATTGGCAAACTGAAATGTACAAACGCACACACACACACACACCAAGATAATGAGTAAGAGAGAGAATGAGTATGAGTATGAGTATGCGTGCAAGTGCGAGGGCTGCCTTTTCGCTTCTCTCCCTTTCTGTTGCTCCCTCTCTTCAATAGGCTCTTTAAGCGCAGCACATATTTAAGCATAATTCCGTTACCCAATCGCTTTACACAAACAACAATCGAAGCATCGCCCACTTCACCGTTCCATAATTGAGCTGTAGCAGCTACCTTCTGTCTGTCCGCACATGCATGTGTGTTTACATAAGCTGAGAGTAAGCTGAGCTTTACGCTCTCCACCTAATGAGAGTATGGGGAAGCATGGGGAATGCAAAGACATGAATAGACAAAAACAAAAACGCACTCTCAGACGTTTATCTTCATCTTGCATACTCCTCCACTCGGTCTCTCTTTCCCATTATGCTTCTCAAGAATTTCTATAAACATACGTAAGCCGGCTATCAATGTGATTTAGGTTTGTGCATTTGAGTACCTAGGAAATTTACTCCGCAATTGCAAAGACGCAAAATGAAGACTTTCAAACGTAAGCACTGCCGAGGCTTCAGCTGCGCCTTGCCTCCCCTTCGCTTTGACTTTCTTGCATTGCTATGTCCTCGAGGCAGCCTCGAATGTCGCTGCTACTGAGGAATTATGAGGCAGTGCTTGCAAACAACGGAATCAACACTCAAAGCAAATCAAGGGAAGAAGGAAGCTTTACAAAGAAGCAACAAAACAGGCAAATGGTAAACATGTTTGGCATGAATGTAAAAATGTTTTGGCTGTGGGACTATTCCATAGGTGCTTTAATATACTTATGTATGTTGGTGCCATTGAAGATTTATTACTCTATTGCTCTGTGCTATACAGCTTTCAGTTTCTCTTCAAGCAGCCCTCGTCCCAGTGTCATACACTTTGCCTCCTCATGCTCCTCATGCCGCTCTCTTTTGCTCTCACGATTAGGCATTGTTTCTTCTCCTCTTTGCCTAGAGTGTGCGTGTGTGTGTGTGTGTGTGTGTGTGTATGGTGTGCTCTGTGGGTCTGGGTCTTCTGCTCTTTGTTTTGCTGACATTTGGCGCGCGATTTATTTTTATGCACTTAGCACGCGACGGCAACACTCGACGACAGCTAATAGAAATCCCCACATTATCGCATCTATTGTGCGAACATCTCCCGCCACACCGCCGCACTTTTAATCGTATATCTGAAGCTGCCTCTCTTTCTCTCTTCCCATGTGTGTAATAGGTGACCGAGGGGAGCATTGCCGATGAGGCTGGACTGCGTGTGGAGGACATCATTGTGCGCATCAATGACACCGCTGCCATGCCCCTCACCCATGACGAGGCCCACCGCCTAATAATGAACAGTGGCAGCGTCTTCTACTTTGGTGTTTACCGGTGAGTGCAGTTCCCTCTCTCCCTCTCTCCCTCTCTCTCTCTTTCCTCTTTCTTTTCTTTGGGAGCGCAAGCCATAACCGTTAATCAAAACTCTTTTCTTTTGTTGGGCAGCGAGTTCGAGGAGGAGGTGTACGAGTGCCCCAAGCGTTTTCCCACCAGCGAGAGTTCGCTGACCAAGTCCCCCACTCCCACTCCCACTGCCACTCCTCCTCTCTCGCTGTCGCCGACTCCGTCGCTGCTTCGGCTGGCGGAAGCCGCAAATGCTCGCACTCCGGAACTGCGGTCGGAGCTCGTGGAAGCCCCCGTGGAAGAACGTCGCCAAGCCATGTCGGAAGTGCATTCGGAAGACAATCGCGAGGAAGGCGGAGACCGCGCAGCAGCGACAAGCAACAACCTGGACGGACGTCTGTATTTGCCCGAATTACCCGATCGTCCGTGCTCGGCGCTGTCAGAGCGAGCGGAAATTAAGCTCCTGGAGGAGGAAATTGCCGCCGTGCTGTCCGGCGAGACGGAGGTGCTCAAGGAGCACAGTGTCCTGGGGTGCGTGTGTGTTCTCGAGTGTGTCTGTTAAGCTGTGTGACGAGCGAGTGCTTTAACCCAACATTCCATATGATACAGCGTCAATTTCTACAGGCTCTTCCCCAAGCCGGGCGTCTGCATGGCCAGCGATGTGCTGCGCTCCCTCAACGAGGAGGTGACCAAAACGAAGCTGGAGAAGGACAAGGAGAACCGCAAGTGGTCCACGTTCCTGCAGCGCCCCGACCGCCCCGTGCCCAAGAGCAAGCAGCAGCTGGAGGCGGAGCGGCGGGCGGCCAATGCCTACAAGGTGACGATTGTCAAGTCTGCGCCGCGCGACACCTCGCCCATGGTGAGTGGCTCTCTGTGGTTGTCTCTGTGCGGATCAGAGGTTAATTTCTTCATGTGACAGCCGGAAGCTAAGCCGGCGCCAAAGGAAGCAACGCCGCCAGCGCTAGAGGAAGTCAAGCAGCAGCAGGAGGAGGTGGAGCAGAAGCCAGCCAAAGAGGAGGAGGAGGAGGAGCCGCTACCCACGGACAGCGAGGTGCCGAATTTGGAGCAGCTGCAGCAGGGGCAGGAAGAGGCTCAGCAGGTGGATGAGGACCAACAGGAGAAGGCCGATGCCCCAAAGGAGGTGTCCGACGGCCTCAACGAAACGGAAGCACCGCCTGCGGCCAGCGATGAGTCCACTGAGCCTGCTGCACCCCCCTCTGCGTCTCCACCACCCAAAACGGAGGAGGAACAGGCGCTGGAGCGGCAGCTGGCCGATGTGCAAAAGCAGCTCGCTGCACTCTCCACTCTGCCCTCGACCATACAGTCCACGCTGGACTCGGTGACCAAGCAGCTGGCCGACCTGCTGCCCACATTCAAGCTCCAGCAACAGCCGCAGGCCCTGCCACAAATCGATGAAGGCCTGGGCGAGGAGGGAGAGGAGCCCAGCCAGTCCCAGTCCCAGTCCCAGTCCGGATCCCAAATGGCCGCTGGCAAAATGGAGGATGCAGGTGCAAAGAAAAACTATGGCCCCATGGTCGACAGTAATTAAATTTTTCTAATGGCGCACTTTGCGTGTATCCTTTCTATCCCCCCACCACACACCGCACACCCGTTACCCGTTACTGGATACTGCTTGCTTGCACACTGCTTGCTGGATTACTGCTTGCTGCACCCCAGGCAACGGCATATCCATATCTGGGGCCGACAAGCCACTGCCGGGGCCATGTGAAAATAATGAGAATAGATGCGATGCCAATGACCTGGAAGTGGCGGAAATTTCGCGCTCAACTGACGACAGTCGCCAGGACCAGGACGAGGCAGCTGCAAAAGCTCAGCCACAGGCACAGGAGCTCAGCGAGGAGCAGAGCTTCAAGAAGCAGAAGGTGAGTGCCATACGGAGGCAAGGACATGGCCTTGGCAGAAGCAGGAGGAGAAGCAGGGCTGTTAATGTAATTATTCGGTCATAAGTGGTGGAGTCCGGCAAGTCCGTGCAGAGCAGCCTTTAATAACATTAGTTGTCCGTCCGTCCAACTGGCTGGACGATTGCTGCCCGGACTGGGGCTGAAGATTGTTCAACTGGGAGACAGATTGCCCTAAAGACTCTAGCTGCAGCTTCATTCATTTAGAGTGTAAATCCAAGAGGAGTTAGCAACAGAAAGTGGATATAAATTCAGAGCAAACACAAACAGACTGGGCAGACTTTAAGCTCTAAACAATGGGAGGAATTGCTGGCTCATAGAACACCTTCTTCGGTCTTTCCACCGAAGCAAACCTTAGCCTTAGCCTTGGCTCCAGCTGGAAGTTGTCTTCGCTTGGGTGTCCCACAAATTAACTAAAATGCCATTTGGTTTTTGTCTTTTTCTACTTGCAGCATAGTGTGCGCTTCCAAACGTAGTTTACTTTAGCTTTTAATTGAGTTTAAATTTTGATCAATTGCCCAGCAAGTTCTCTCTCGTTCTCTCTCTCTCTCTGGTTGAATAAAAGTCAGTTCCGCCCGAAAGCCCCACTAGAACAGAAAAATGCAGAAACCAAAAGACAATTAGTAGGCACCAAGTGGAAAGCGCTTCAAGTTTGCTTTTCTCTCTGCCCTTTCTCTATCCACTGGCACTCTCTTTTCCCCCCTCCTGCCGCTTGTGTGTGCGCCAGAAACACGATGTCATTGAGGAGCTGGAGGAGCAGTTGGTGCGCAAAAACAATCCTCGACGTTCGAAGCGTGCCTTTGGGCCACTGGTGCCATCATCGGAGCGGCCATTGGTGCTGCCGGGCGGCCGTCGCTGGTATCGTCCCAAGGATGCCTACAACGATGAATTCATAGCCGAGACACTGAGCGCCCAGGCGGAACTCATCACGGGCAGCACTCTCGGGTGGGTACAAGCCAAACACACACACACACAGCCAAATCCCTCTACGCTGGTTTGTTTGACCAGATAGACACAGACACAGCCATGGCGTAACCAGGCCAAAAGCTCATCTCTGGCATCTCATGTTCTTTCACTATTTCCATGGCATCACCATCTGCTCCACCATTGCACCATAAATTTACGCATTAGCAGCTGTCCCTACGAGAGTCCACTGCTGGGCTATGATGCCAGGTACCAAGCACAACCAAGTGCCCCCTTTGGATGCACTTTCATTACCATTATCGTGCGGCATTATCATTATGCCTCCATGTCCCCAGTTCATGCTCCATCTCCATCTCCATCTGCATCTCCATCTGCATTTCATGGCCCATTCTGAACGTCTGTCATATGGCCTGAAGTTGATTTGACTTTTCCTGCTTTGAGTTTCGTTTTTCCTGCGTTTCTTTTTGGGGTTTGCATGCTGCACTTCGCTCTCTCCCCGTCTCTATATGTCTCTCTCGTTTCTGTCTCTCATTGTAGATTGCATTTTGGAATCGTTTGTTCAATGGCGAGCACATAACACGCCAGCGCTTCAGGTAAGCTTTTCCGCTGCGCTTGCTGGAAAACTCCTCCACGACTCTTTAATGAGGCTAACAAACTTCATCTTCATCCACCCTCTGCCTCTGCCTCTGCCTGTGTGTGTGTGTGTGCCTGTGTGTGTGTGTCTTTGTGCACGCCCTTGTCTTGTTCTTAACCATTTTTTGGTACTGCTGCTGCTGCTGCTGCTGCACGTCCGCAGGGAGCTGCAGGGTCTCAGCCTGACCATGCAAAAGTAAGTTGTCAAATTGGAATTCGTTTTCTCAGGTTCACCCCTCGTTCGACTCGCTGCCTCAACTGACTGACAATTGACTTTCGTTTCTGCTCTCCCCCTTTTTCGCAGGGTCAACTTCATGAAGTACCAAAAACCGGAGCGCAAAATCGATCTGAATCGCAGCGAGGTATACAAATATCTCAATCCTCAGCTGGATCGTGCGCCCGTGCGTGGCATCGAGGTGCGTGCCCCACTGGTGGCCGCCGAGTCCGATATACGCCAGGCCGTGCAGTCATAGGAACCCAACCCAGCCCAACCCACACGCCACACTCGATTATCGCATAAGAAGCTCAACTCAAATATAACTATCAATGTGCCAAGAGAAAGCGAGTTGTTGTCAGGTCTTGTGTGTGGGGGGGGGGGTGCGATATTACATAATTTGTGTGCAACAAGGCGTATGTGTAATGTGTCGCTAGTGTCAGGGCAACAGCAGGCGGCACTGCTTGGCTGTTGCAATTTTCTTTTGCATAAACACGCGACGCTGCCAACTGCTTGCCAGCTCTACTCTACATATTACATACATAATATGTATGTGCGCTTACATATTTGCATATTTCTGTACATAAATCTAACTGGATTGTGTCTGTGTGTGTGTGTGTGTGTGTGTGTGGGGAATTTGCATTTATTAAGGCTAAATGAATTGGGGTTTGTGTAGCACAAAAAGGCAAAGTGGCAAATGGCAAACAGCACAATAAAACCCGTCTTTAGTTATGACACAAACAGCCATCCAGCCATGCAGCCATCCATTTGCTGCCACAGGATGTATGTGTATGTATATTATATGGTTATCCTTTCTGTATGAATGGTAATGGCAGTGGTTATGCGAAAATCAAAATTGTTGTCACGTTATAATGGCAGCCGGGAGAACGGATAAGCCAATGCCGCACATTTCACTTGCCCACCGCGACACACAAAAACGCCACACAAAATGATGAGACACTTTTTTGTTTGTCTCTTGTCTTTTTTTTTTGGTCGTTGTCGTCAGGCCAACGGGCAATAAAAACGCGCCAACTACCGTGAACTCCCGCGTGTCACTCGTCACAAAATTACGAACTCAGCGGCAACGACTTCACAGCATCAGCAGCAGCAGCAGCAGGCGGCGACGGCGACGACGGCGACGACGGCGACGGCAGCGGACCGACAAGAGCGAACGTTGCTGTTGGTGTCTCGTCTTGGACTGTCACAACACACTGGCCTGGCATTGGCATGTTGGCTTCGCATTATCATTGCATTGGCTAGAAGGATACGCTGCGCTTATGCTCGTGCCCCATGCCCTCGTGCTGCTGCCACACACAGAAATTTCACTCGTGTTGGGTTTCCCGTTGTTGAGTTTTTGGGACAGCTTTTCCGAGCAGCTTTTGAGTGGAAACGCGGCACATCTCGTTCTCCGTTGGGGGATAAACCTGCCGGAAATAAAATTAAGATTTGTGCGCTGCCGAGTTCAACTTGTTGGCACAAAAAGTTTCTGCTGCCTCTCATTCTCCTCACCCATTTGTACGCTTAATTGCTGAGCTGCGTTCACACTAAACTGAGCTTAAAACGCTTTGAAGTCCACTAATGCGCTGCGAGTCATTTGGAAAAAGGTCCCCCATCGAAGGGCATAAGTTAGCCAGCAAAAGGGTTCTTTGTTTTAAGATAATTTACTTTCATTTTCTTAGGCATTTGTTGAGCTGTTGGACTGCCTTGTTTCGGGCCATAATTTGTGTCGACTTGGACTATTTGGTTGATTCATTTGTATGGCATTTGATGGTCGGGCTTAAGACAAGTCGTGGGAGGCATTGCATTTGCAGATACAACTTTATTTGCTGAAGATAGAGCGACTTAAAGTCAGCTAAAATTATGAGAAATTTAAAAGTTGTCCTGCAAAAACCGTTGCATACTTTGCGGCGGTGCTCTAACACGAATATGCAATGGATCTACGCTACATAACTAGGCCTGCTGTAGGTCATTTAGCGTTTGTATTTATGAAACAGTAAAGTAAGTTCAACCCTCGAATAATTTATGGTCCGATTCTGCAGGTTTTCACTCGAAATTTGGCTTTTTTTCAGCTTTTACTGCAGTTGAAATGCCCAAAAATAAATAAATCTTTTATGGTTTTTATTTTTGAATTTGAATAAACAATACTAGGACAACAACTACTTAAGAGTAAGTACATACACACACATACGAGTTGACATAAAAATAGTTTTGCTTTCTTTTTGAACGAATATTCATCGAAACGAACTTTTATAGCTGGTATAATGATAAAGTGTTTGGGCTCACAAATACAAAGAAGGCAAAAACTTACAGCAGCAGCAAAACACTTTAAAAGTGCTGCCAAATTTGTTATAAACAAATTCTCTCTCTCTTTCTTACTTTCTTACTTTCTTACTTTCGTTCTTTAGAATTATAGGGTACAGCTAGGTTAGAGTTTTGTTTGTGTTACTTTTGTGTGTGTTTGACACTAATTATCACTACATCAGTTTGAAGCTAAATAGTTGATAAGTTGGGGTTCTCTTCTCGCCCAAAACAATCCTCGCAATCAGCTAAATAAATTGCATTCTTTGTGATGCAAATTTCGTGTGTTTAAAGTATTTCAATATTTCCAGAGTTTCAATTTTGTTTACTTGATTTTAAGGTACAACATTTCCGCGATGCCCCAGCTCTTTAAGCCATTCACAATCGCAAAATCACACACATCCAACCCATAAAATATGCTTAAACATATTCGGTTTGGGGTTGCGGCTGGGCTGCTGGTGATGGTGGGATTGTTTATCTCTAAATACTAATTAGCAGGTAGTTCGTTAATGCATTTATAGCACAGAATTATGCTGTTTGATTTTTCCTATTTGTTTTTGTTGGGGGCCTGTTAATACTTTCAATTCTAATTTACTAATTAAGTTTCTTTGTGTGCCTTGGTGGAGGCCCAGTGGGGGGAGTTGTTCCCTCTAGGCTGGTATTGTTGTTTGTTCATAGAAATCAGGCTCATCCTCGTCGTTCTTTGCCTCCTGGCCATCCAACTGGAAGGGAAAATATTAAATAATTGCCAAATTCACTCTCAAAACCCCTTGGCCTACCGCTTGCAATTCCTCTGGCTTGTAGAGCGCCACCAAACGCTGTCTTATGGGCACCATCATGATCAGGAAGAAGGGAAAAGCCAGCGAGAATCTCGAAGACTTGACGGACCACAGCAGCACCAGGCACAGCACTTGAATGGTGGTGAACAAATGCAGCTTCCAGGGCCGCACGCGCTTCACATAGGACGTGGGTGGATAATGCTTCACGGGCATAAAGTACAAGCGAATGCTGTGGGATCGAACGAATGCAGAGATTAGAGGAGTGCCTGCTGGGATTGTGCCAAGACTTACCGCTCGAACAGCTGCACGCCGCTCATGGAGGCCACGCCCATGTACAGGAACACTCCAAAGAGCACAGCCATGGGTATGAGTCGCAGCAGCGGGGCCATCAGCACCGACAAACCAATCATCACGCACACAAAGAAGCCAGACAAACGCTGCTCCTTGACATCAATGATCCTGGGCGAATCACCAGGTGCATGGGTGCTGCAAAATGAAAAGAATTATTAAGCAAAACACGCCAAGATCGGAGAGTAAGTGCTGACAACCCACCGTGACATAATCGTAACCGATGAGACATGCGTCACGGAGCGTACTGTGGCCGCACAATGCCAGGGCATGCCAAAGAGGCCGCAGAAAGTGTTGAGCAGACACAGCAGCACAATGTCCCAGTGCAGGCCGGAGCCCTTCTTCAGCCCACGCTCGGGTTTGTCCACAATCAGCTCCGATATCTGCGACTCCATAAAGATCAGAATGTAGACGAGCAGCGCGGGCACCACACAGGCGAAGGGCACCCACGTGGAGGTGGCATTGAAGCCAATGTACCAGCCGCGCAGCTGCGGGGCGCTGGGCGAGAGGCCCGCGGGCACCACCAGCTTCTCCGTGTAGACAGAGGGCACGAGATAGTCGACCAGCACGAATATGGCAATGGAGATGGGCACACCAAAGTCACCGAGGGCACGGCGCGCATTGCGGCCCAGGAAGTGCGAGTTGCGGAAGAGCTTCAGGTAGTAGGCCACAACGAAGGTGGCCAGCGTGAGGATGGTGCAGAAGAGTGCGGTATTTGGCTGATTGGTGGGCAGCTTCGAGCCACCCATTGGCGCCGCTGTGGTCGTGGCATTCAGCAGCGTGACGCTCATGTTGTAGTGAGTTCCATTCAGGTCCGAGTCTTGGTCGTGCGCCACAAGCGTCGGCGGCGGCAGGTTGTAGTCGGAGAGCAGTGGATTCTGCTGGTAGATGGAGACCAACTTCATCACCGTCTCCACAATGTAGATGAGCGTGATCAGCGCCGAGAAGATCTCCTGTGTGAAGCGCGTGAGCAAACGCACATAGACGCTGCCCTCGAAGGCCGACACACAGAGCGCGATGATGATCAGCCAGATGCCAACGTAGACGCGCAGCGAAAGGAAATCAAAGTCGTTCTGCGTGCAGAACACCATCAGCGCCTCATCGAACAGCAGTAAAGGTCCCGTGGTGCCGATTATGACCAGCGGCTGGCAGCTGAGACAGTGGAAGACGATGCCCACGAAGGAGCACGAGATCAGCGTCTCCGAGATGCCGATCCAGCTCTTCGTTTTGTCCGACACCAAGCCGCCGAACGTGATGGCCGTGGAGAGGCAGGCAAAGTACATGAAGATGGTGGCCGCCAGTGTCTCCGTGTTGAGGCCGTCGAGGATGTCGCTCTTGTACATGGGCATGCGACGCTTCAGATCGTTGCGCAGGCCACCCCACAGGCGGTGGGTCTTCTCCATGGGATTGGGCTTCTTCTTTTTGCGTCCATCGTCGTCATCGTCGTCGCCGTCACCGCTGCCGCCACCACCGTCGCCGCCATCGCCACCGGGTCCCATGCCAATGGCGCCCATCGATTGCTTCTCGAGCAGCGCCTTCTCCTCGTCCTTGCCGATCTTGATCATTTCGCTGTCGCGCTTCACCTGCAGCGCCTTGATCTTGCGCGTCCGTATCCAATCCTTCTTGGCCTTCAGCTCCTCGAACGGCAGCAGATCGTGGCGATCCCAGTTGCCGGGCGGCAGCACAATCGAATCGTCAAGGAACTCATTGATGGCCGACAGCAGATCCTTGCGATCGTCCGCCTTGTACGCAATGGCATGGAAATGCTCGTTGGCCATCAGCGTGGAGATGGAGCGACCCACCTCATGGTAGTCCAAGTCAAAATTACGCGGCCCCAGCAGCACAAACATAAATCTCACGGGCACGGGCACCTCCGTCAGCGTGGGCATCAGGACACCCTCCGACAGGCGTACAAAGGCAATTGTGGGCTGATCCAAGAACTCAACGGCACCGACCTGAAAGGGGAGATGGCAATATGATGAGGAAAAGCTCTAAAGTAAACCATTTGGTGGGTTATTCATACCAGCACAGTGGTTGCCTCAGCTCCTGCGGGTATGCGCCTCAGGATGGTGTCATTCTGCAGCTTCTTGAGATCCTCCTGCGACGATGAGTACATGTCATCCTTCATATCGATCTTCAACTCATTGCTGCGCTTGCTGCCGCCAATATCGGCAGCGGGCATTATCTTGATCTTCTTGTCATCGGTGCCGCCCGACAGGTTCTGTGAAGCATGCCCCAAAATATGATCAGTTTTTCGGGCATAAAAGAGTTTTAAGGCATGCAAAATATATTTAAACATCAAGAAACGAACGTGCAGCAGTGGAAATTACGTAAAGCAGGAAGGCACAAAGACTAGAATAGACAAAAACACAATTGAGAACTTGCCAATCGTGGAGTAGTGGAGTAGTGGAGGTGGCACACATTTATAAAAAGGTTCTAAGAGAGTGGTGGGAGTAGGCTAGTGGGTGTGACTAGGCGGCTAGGCTAAAAAGAAACATCTGGAGTTGTCTAAGCGCAAGAGGGGCAACTGGGCGACTCCTGCAGAGAACAGGCAAGGAAATCGTAAGAGTAAACCAATTTCCTTCACTGCTTCTACGAGCCAAGAGTCACAGCGCCACAAGTGGGAATAGGAGTTGAGGTTTGTTAGTGGCTCTTTAAGGTCTCATTACACCCAGGTAAGACATCGTTGAGTGTCGCCGGTGATCGATGGCCGCTGCAATGCCCCCGGGCGAGCCCACATTAAGCGTGGTGGCTGCTGCTGCTGCTGCTGCCGCTGCTGCCGGTGGGGCACTGGAGGTGACGCAAATGCTGCGCCGTGCCTTGGCTAGGTTACGTGGCTGCTGCTGCTGCTGAGCATCGGCGCCCATCCAGAGAAACTGTTTCGTGTGGGTTGTGCGCAGGGAGAGAGAGTTGTTTGTGTAAACGTAAACAATAAAACGCACAAGAAAAAGACCAAAAAAAGAAACAACGTCAAAAATGTTTGGCCGCAGAAAGTAGAAGAAGAACAAACGTTGGACAAAAGCATTAACGGCATTATATCAGAGCTTGTCTGTACGATTCATATGTACAATTTTGGCTATTCTTTACCGATTTGGGTATAAGTTGCTGTTGTTTGTTGTTGAGTGTTCGAGTGTGTGTGATGGCAGATGGCAGAAATAGACAGAGAATAATTATGAAAACACGATCATGGGATTAGCAAAAACGTTTCGAACACACACTGTAAAGCCAATTATTTATAGCGAACAAGCGAACGACGAGGATTAATGTTGAATGATTATGATATCAGTAGATGTATGGAACCACAGATTAGTATGAAAAGGGGTGAGCTTAAAACACAGTTAGAATGTGCCTTTGCGGCCTACCTGCAGGCTGGTGTAGCTGTTGTATTTGCGCTTCGTAAATGGCAGCACGCCCTGATGCTCGTTGACATGCCGATGCCGCAGCAGCAGCGAACGCATCACCGATGGTTTGTCATTAATGTCAATGAGGTCCTCAATCACCATCTGAAAGAGTGAACAAATAGGTAAGAGAACTCTCTGCAGCATAGCTATAGCCCAGACGCACCTGCTCTACCACACGATATGCCACGGCGGGCAAATCCTTCTCGTTGAGGTCCAGCAGCACAACGCCCGTTTCCAGGCAGCGACGCAAATTGAGCAGCGAATGGAATGAGAGAGAGGCAACATGAGGCTTGCCCCAGCGATCGGAGCCCTCCTCCACATCCTCCTCGTATTTGATCCAGCGCGCAGTCTCCTTCCACTCACGATCCTCGCCCACGCCAGTGAGCTCGTCCAATTGCACAAAGATCTAAGGAGGAAAAAGGAAAGAGGAAAGAGAAAGGTAATAAAAAACGGTACTTCTGTATTGCCCACTCACCTCATGTGGACTGTGATCCACTTCGGGCTTCTTGTTGGTAAACGGCGAAATGGTAATCTGCGGCAGCTCTCGCAGCTTAATCGATGAATGATGAATCTTGTGACGCCGCAGGGCACGCGGATCGTCCGAACGATGCGATCTCAGCTCGTTGAGATCAGCCTCCTACATCGAGGGAATAGGAAACAAACAACGATTAGGGTTTGAACTATAAACTTGGATGAAATATACGTGGCTAAGGGCACGGTAAAGGATGTAAATGGTCAACCTGTTTAGCCGGCATTTGGCCATTTGTCTACAGATTGGCGATATCCGTGCATGGGTTAGCAAATGAGAGAGATACACAATTGCTGGGTTAGTTAATGATCTTATTAGGCTGTGATTTAGGCTGGTTAGCTTCTAGTGTTTAGTGGCTCTAGTGTCTAGTGTTTGTTGAGGACGCTACCTCCAATGCCGTGTCCTCAGGCTGTACAGAGATGCGACGCGCACCTGCATCACCGTTCTCCTCGATGGTCTTTTTGGCTTCCACGCTGTCCTGATGTGAGAATTTACGCTGTCTATAATACTGATGGCGGCTGCAAAAGGTAAACATTCAAAAGAAATTATTAATTATAAAGCGTATTGTAATAGCAGTTAATATGTAACCCAAAAACAATGCAGCAAAGTAGAGTCCCGTTAGGGTCTTCTTTCTGTGCTTCACACAAAAGAGTTCGCTAGGTGCTTAGGTAGCTAGCGTCGCACCATGGGAGGCTTCCATACAATTGCAGCTCAAAACTTCAAGTCAACGAGCTTTTTGTAACTGCATGGCTGTTTCAGACACAAGCGACAAATATCTCCCACAGTGCAATGTCTCAGGTACCTTCTTTGCTGGTGAGAGGGCGACAGAAGGAATAGATGAGAGAGCGAATGAAGCCGATGCAACTGCATGCCAGTTACAGATTTGTCTAGCAAAAGTAAGGTCCCGTTAGGTCTTATGCGTAGCTAATGTGGTCGCACTATGGGAACCTTTTATACAATTGGGGCTCAGTAGTGAAAGTCGAGAATCTTTATGTAGCTGTATGGCAGTTGATGCTTTTTAAGACAAACGCCACAAAAAGCTACCATAGTGCGGCCACTCAGGTACCTGATTTGTGGGTGAGAGAGCAACAGAAGGAATTGCTGAGAGAGCAAAGTCAAACGAAATTAATTGCGAGGGTGTTTATTTAGTGTGAGGAGCAACGAAGATCACTTGCGAATATAAATACCCATCGTGGGAGAGGGGATGTGGGTTACATTACCTTTTTCTGCGTTTTCGTTCGTGGGATTGGTCCGTGGGCTGATCATCATAGCTCAGACTCGGCGGTGTGATGACAATCTTCTTCTTGCCAGCGGCACCACCGAACTGAACGTGCTTCTCTTCCGCCGAATTGTCCGAGTGATCGCCGTGTCCGGCACGCTCAGAAACTAATGGGAAATCCTCTGGTATGTCATCATAGTTTTGTGCATTATTCAGTGGCTCCGTTTGGCTCTCGTATTCCGAGTCCTCCTCAATATTTAGATCATTTGTGCGAACTACAGAATTCGCAGAAGGATAACTTTAAGCATCTGATGGTGGATATAAATATTAAATGAGATCTCTTACTGCTATTCTTCTTGCGGGATGCAGTGGGTAGTTGCGTGTTGTCCTGAAAGGTATTCACATCGAATTTCTCTTTACGTACACTGGTGCCGGCAAAGACCTTGTCCATTTCCGAGTCCAACAGCACTTCATCGGGATCCTCATTGCCGCCGGACTGCAACAAAAAAAGTACAGAGAACAAATAAATACATTTCAAATGGATTGTCCATCAATTGTTTTCTGCCTGTCCCTGCCTCACGTTATGCATGACTCAAAAGCAGCCACAAATACTTTTCAATTAAGAATCTATATACACATAGGAAAAACAAAGTCATGTGACTTCGGGCGGCATTATTGCCCCTCGTCACGAGTGTATTTATTTTTTGTTTTTTCGAAACATGTCTGAAACATACAGAAGGGGGGTGCCGTACGATGTATGAAACGCATTAATCATCGCTTATTGAGTGTCAGCGCGCTACGCATTAGAGCAAACTACTCGTAAAAAAAATGAGAGAGAGCGAAGGAAGGAAGGAAGAGGAATGGCAGCGAGACGAGACACTATCTACGGAGAGATGCAAAGTCCCGCGCGAGCGTTGGCTGTCTTTATATTTAATGGCGTTATTCATAATTGCTTTCAATCGATCTCAATTGATTTCCATAGTGACGAAGGCATTGATTGCCTTCGCAATGTGCGGTGCGCATTTCTCCATCATCTTCATCTACATTTCTCAAGTGAAATATATTTTGTTGCATCCACAAGGAACGAGGAACAAGTAAACTCAATTACTTCTAATTGTCGAGATGGGGCTATCAGATTACACAAAAAATAAAGGCAACAACAACAAAAATCTTATGAAATTGTTTATTGGAGAAATCACAACAGAAGGTTACATGGTGTTCAATTTTCATTGTCTGGCATCTGGAAATTGTATACTCGCTGCATGATTTTCCCTTCTCTGCACTGATTTTTCTGTGTAAATTTCAATTCATTTCCCAAGAAGAAACATTATATGATCCGCAAGTGTTTGGCAAAGGTGCAAGTGTATTATTTTTCGGAATCTTTCCTTACTACTTGGATGGAATTCTGCTTAATTTCTAAAAATATCTAGCATTCAGTAAACTTATAAACAAAAGAAACTTAAGGAATTATATTCCCAAAAACCATTCAAAATATCAAGTACCCTCTTGAATATCCCCAAATATGTGCCGCTACAGACAGCGCCTTCTTTTGCTTCATATTTTACTTGATGATGAACGTCTTTGAGCGCTTTTGTGTTTACCCCCAAACCCACAGCAGATAAGGGAAATTCACGAAAAATATGTTGGCACATATGAAAATGAAAGTGAAATGGGATTTCCCCCGTTGAGCTGCCAGCGAACACCTTTTTTTTTGCCGACATTTATTATTTACTTCGATATGCAAACGGAAAGGGAAAGTATCCAGAGAGAGAGAGAGAGTGAAACGGTGTATCCTTGACAATTATATTTACTTCCTGATAGGCAAACGCGGAAGGGAAGGCGGCGAGGAACAAAAGAGAGGCGAACAAACAGAGTTTCACTTTGAGTTTATAAATAGCGAAAAAGAATTTAATAACGCTGAGAGCCACGGCACGTGTGTGTGTCCAAAGGGAGTCGAGTCGAGTCCGCGCTCTCTCCCTGTCTTTTGTCCCGTTCCTTTTCGTTCTCTCTTTGCCTATTGCTAGCTCCTTCTCCTTCTCTCTGTGTCTCTTTTGCTGTGTGTGACCCCGACATGTGGCTTGTGTGCATGTTCGACTGATAAGAGCAAAAGCGTAACGCACGTTACGTTAATTAATCGATAAACACTGCGACGCGTAGCTTTCGGGTGGGAGTGGGGTGCACATTCCACCACATAATGTTGATATTAATAATGATAACAACAACAACAGTAATGATGACGATGATGATGATGACAGTAAAAGCATTTTGTCATGCGGCCATTAGCCAGGAGGCTCCATCAACGCCACCCACATGGCACCTGGAGGCAGCGCACTTTATGCAGCATGTCAGCCGTGGCAGCGGCAGAGCGACAAAGCTTATCAGACGAGTAATCGATGGAGGACCCCTAACACCCCCCAAGCTGTCTCTGAAACTGTCAAATTTTCGTTGTTGTTTTGTTGTCTAGAAATGCAAGAAGCATAGAAATAGAAACCCACAAAAAAAAAAAACCCAGAAGTGAGATCATCGAGGAGGGAAATTAGCGTAGAAAATATTCATCGAGACAGAGACAGCGACAGAGCCACAGCTCAGAGTTCATTAACGTAACGAAACCGATTAGCCAAAATGTTGCGCAATTCTATAGATACGAGCAGAACCTATCCCAATGACGCGCACTGTACTTTTGACTTCCAAGTTTGAAGCGTACCCACAGAACCTCAACCTCAACTCGATTTGACACGAGTTCTCTCGTTGAGTGCTTCTGATGTGATTTGACATCTCCTCTCCTGCGGTGGCAAGCAGCTAGTGAGCGGCGGCACGTGACACTCCTCCTCGCTTGTAAGTCATAAGCGAGTTATGTGCTCGTGAGCACAAACAACTTTTTGTCAAGCTGAATCACAAATTGAATCAAACTCCGGAGGCTGCAACGAAACTTGTTTCTGTTTCAGTGGCACAAGTGTCCGCCCCCCCAACCTGCCTGTCACACAAGTTGCCGCACGGATTAAAAGTTTGTCTGACAGTGCGGACTGGGCAATAAGCTTGCTGGCTGATTCTCGGAACACATCTTAACCGTTTTTATGGCAAAAGCCATTCGAAACGCCAATAAATGGGGAGGCGAAAAAAACACGCGTTAGCTGGGGGGGGGAATTTTAAATACTCTGAGGAAAGAAATTTGTAAAACAACTTTTGGATAGAATATTTAAGCGAAAAGTTCCTGTTTGCACAGGCACTGCCATAGCGCATGTCCCCCACCAAAGAGAGGGTATCCAAAAAGTGTTGGCAGCTGCAAACTGAAACCGTTTAACTTTACATTTCACTTTTGACTTTGACTTTGAGTTGGAGATATTTATTTATACGAGAGGCGGGTATTTCCTATTGTTCTTCCACAGCGAAACTTTATGTTTTTTGTTTTTTCGTTTGTTTTCTGCCCTTGCTGTGCATAATTTTGGGTCGCATTTGCCACGCGTTTTTCGCTGTGCTTCCATGCCGCGTAGTTTGTATTTTGTGTTTTCTTTGCGTTTTGTTTGCACAAATTAACGATGCTTCCCGGCAAGGTTTCGTCCAACTGTCAGCCTGTGTCTGTGTGTATCTGTGTTAATTTAATGTGAATTCCGCAGCGGAAATGTTCGCACAAGCAAACGGACAGAGCAGGACATGGGCAAAGGACAAAGCAAAGAGTAGAGCAAGGGTAGGGACTGGCTGTGGCTGTGGCTGTGGCAGACACGTGCTAAAGGTTAACCTTTGGTCATTGTAGTGTGCCTGAAGGCGTTGCGAGAGGGCGAGGCATCAAAGCGGTAAAGCGTTGTCGTAAACGTAATCTAGTGATGGGGAATCACCCACACATACGCACATTCGGTGTCTCTTGGTAGCTGCCACAAAGTGTTGCATACTTCAAGGTCAGCTGTTGACATTGTGTATGTATGTGTTCCGCCTGCGTGTGTGTGTGTGTGGGGAAAAGGTTTAGGCCTCTGTTCTATTTATTTATTATCGTTCTATGGAATTTAATAGAGCATACGAAACATTCTTTGACGTGGGTGTGGAAGCGGTATTTCATCCCCTAACAGATTGTTTTATAGCGTGAAGGAGGTGGCGACATTTTCTTGTTTTTCCAAGGAAATGAACACAAATTATTCCTTGCAAATAAAAGGGATTACGAGCCAAGGGATTATGCATTTGATAGTGCTTAAGGGGAACAAGAACTGTTCCTACTTTGAATGGTTAAATAATCTGGCAAACAAGAGAGGGGGAAAATGAATTCTAAATTACAAGAAAAGGAAGCCCTTGACTCCTACAGGTAATGGAACACAACTTTCATCTCGAAATCTACTTTAACTAAACTTTTTCCATGTCTTTCTTAATCTTTGTCATATTTATTCCTCCTGCTCTCATCCGTTGCGCACAAGTTTAGCTCATAAATATATCAGTAACTCGTCAATAAGTTCTTCAAATTCGAAACTTTTCTTTATCATAGTTACTTTTTGCCATACATTGACGAACATTTCTCCCGCTCTCTCGCTCTTTTCACTTACATAACACATGAGTATCAATAATTCAGAGCTTGTTGTTTTTTTTTTTTTTGTAAGGGTTTATACACGAAACCACAGCATAGCCAGGCGGCAATCATCCATCAATTCCATAAAGTTGATTGAGGCTGGGCGGCAGATGCCAGGAATTTCTTCCCCAGCACCCAGCACACTTATGACCTGAAGGCACCCACACACACACACACATGCAGCACCTTCCACGTGTGTTTCTGTGCATTACAGATGATTCCTCGTGTCGCCTTGGGGCCACAACATTTGAGCACTTTTGCGGTGTGCGGTGTCCCGTTTTATGACTCCCCAAAAAAGTATGCAACACAAAACGCGAACTTCCTTTGGGGCGCCTTTTGCCTGCCGTTTATGTGTGTGTGTGTCCGTGTGAGGCTTATAAATGTGTGGCCCCCGCCACTCACCACTCACTTGTTGGCACAGCTGCCAAGCGAGAATTTCTGGACCTTTCGCCTGTGTCATGATATTGTAAAATGCTCATGGAAGGGCCTGCCGCTGTATCCGTGCGGGCCTCTGTGCATCCACATCTATGTCTGCGTGTGTGTGTGTGTGTGTGTGTGTTTGTGTGGGGCTCTTATTGAAATACTTTTCAAGGTTATTATGCTCTTGACAAACTTGCTCCCACTTTATGTTATAGATCAAACAAGTTACCCACTCCCCTCCCCGATGTACCTTTGAGCGCTCCAAGAATTTAATAACAAAAACTTCCTTTCCTCTCTTTTTATTGCACTAGAGTTTACTTGGAATTTGATTTTCGATTTGATAACTTTTCGTCACGCATCCCACTGCAAATTTTCGTGATAGTTTTTTATCTTTTCTTTTGCTCGGCCTGTTGCACCGTGTGACCCATGTGGAGGGGCCCCAAAAACAAGAACTACGACCACACGAGGCTCGTTTCACGCGCTCTCTCTCTCTTTCGCTCTCGCTCTCGCTCTCTCAACGCGATGTCCGTTGTGTGGGAATGCTTCCCAACAAATGATGGCGCGCCTCAGCTGCTGCTTTTACCTGGGTGCTGCTGCTGGCGCTGCCTGCTGCTTCTGCTGCTACTGCTGTCGCTTCTGCGCAGGCGCTGGGCATGAAAGCGCGCGTATAACGGTAGCATAGTCGCCTGGCTCGTCAGCTGACAGTCGCTGCAGCGACTCGGCCACGCTCAGCTGATTCTCAGGGCCGTTCTGGCGGCAGGCGTTTTACTACGTAGAGTAAACCCACCCCACCCCACCCCCCACCCACCACCTTCTGCTGATGCTGACGTAAATCGGAATGCAGTTCTGGGCCAAAGCTTATTTTGGTCTGCATTTTTTTGCGTGCTTTCGAGGCACACTGAAATAATTAATGGAAAAGCTTCCCGTGCACGGGGAACAGTACAGAAAAGGACCTCAAATGATGGTCAAGGCCGCACAAGGCCAACACTTGGCGGGGGATGTTTTAGGCTGAGCAGCAAGAGGGTTGTGGGGTAGCGCAGGGTGTGCAAGCTTTTGGCTCAAAGTTTTCCTGCTAATGCTGATGCATAAAAAATCTATTCCTCTGCCTCCTGGTTGCCTTGTGGGCCACACAACGCAACAGCAGCAGCAGCAACACAGATACACCATTAAGGCTCATTAGACGTGTGTCGCTGTGTGTGTGAGTGTCTCTCTCTCTCTCCCTCTCTCTCTCTGTCTCTGTGTGTGTGTGATTGTCTCTTTGCGTTTGTGTGTTTTTGGGTAATTAGCGTTAACAGTTCGAGTTGTAATGCGGCTAATTGAGTTATGTGCATGAGTACAGTGCTTTAGAAGAGCATAGCACTTGTCCCACGTGACAGGCAGTCAATTTTGAGTATGTAAGATGACAGGGAAGCTGATAGTGGGACTGGCAGGAGAAAGTGAGACTAGAAGTGCTGTTGGGGGTTTGGGAATTTGATTGTGGCATGAAAATATTGTTGTAAAAATTGTAATTAATTTCAGATTTTAGATTTCAGATTCTAGATCAATTTACTTGAAATATTTACCCACAGAAAACCCATTATTCCACTGTATTTAGAACCCTGAACCACACACACACCTGAAGCTAAAAGTTGATCATATTTGAGCATAAATCATGGCATACTTTATGGTGCAATTAAGTTAATTGAGGCTACTAGCGGCTACCGCTGTTCCCTCCCCTTACCCCGCACGCCCCTGGAGTGCTTTCACCTGGTGAATGGTGTCAATGAATTGATTGCGATTGCAAGTCCAGCACACAGCTAACTATTACTTTTCATTGCCAATGTCAGGGCGGCAGCAAACTAGCTGTAACAACAAAAAAAAAAAAAAAGCGACAGCACGGCCAGGCCAGCGACAGCCTTGACCACGAATATCGATTTCCTGTTTTGCTGCCGCTTCATTTGAATGCTGGCTTCCTGCTGCCTGCCTGTCTGTCAGTGCTTTCCGATGCGTTTTCCATTTGCCATTTGCCACTTGCCACTTTGGCAATTAAAATGCGTTTTCCCATTAGGCTTTAGCCTTTAAGCTGACAGACAACTCGGCGTGTGTGTGTGTGCGTGTCGCCCGCACCTTTCCCTCTGCTAAAACAACAAAAGCCAAACACACACACACACACAGTGCATGCGTAACATCGCACCACACCATAATCGGCTCTAACTGTAATGCTCGTAGAGGTGTTGCGGGGCGGGTCGCTTCGGTTTGGCTTTTGAATGAATGAATGAACGAATGCATGATTAGGCGAGATCTGATCTAATGCCGGCCGCACCGCACAGCACCGCACCGCACGCGAAAGCGAAACTGAAATCGTACACTGGAAAACTGGTTCCTAAATTGTGTCAGTCGTTGGCTGGCGGGCATTTGGACAAACTGCGGAAATGTACAATAAGTACAATACAAAAGCAACAGCCGCAAAAACAGCAACTATAAAAATCAATAACAATTACTTGACATTACTTTGCGATTTGCCAGCGAATTAATCAACAAATTTTGCAACGAATTTTAAAAGTGTTTTATTTGATGGAAAATTACTGACAAAATGCCGCAAAATAATTCGCAATTTTAGAGAATTTTTGTAAAATTTTGATTGATTTCAGAGAGGAAAAATTATGAAGGGTACTTAGTGTGTGTGTGGAAATTCATTACAGCTAATTCTCTGATGGAATTATTCCGAAATTTATATGGAAATGGAAAGCTAGTAATATATTGCAACGGATGGTCCCAGGATGAGCTCATTACTGGCATTAGACCCATTTGCTTAATTAATTACATATCTAAAATCAATGCATTCGCAAACGGTAGGGTATTAGTCGTTTGCTTAATTATGCAAATGAAAAAGCAATAAGATAAACACCGAAACTGCGCCACACAGTTGGGTCCCGTTGGTTATTCTTCTGCTTCAGGTAGCAGACGAGGATGAGCGTCGCACCATGGGAAACTTCCGCACAAAAGCGTCTCATAAATGTGCTACCTGCTTCACATAGCAAGCCTCTTCTGCATTTACAGGAATTGTGGACGAAAACGACAGAAAGCTCCCATGGTGCTTCGTCGTTGACTTATTCGGCGCATTAATGTAGTTGTTGTAGACTTGCAGACAAAGAGCAAAGCAAAGAAACGAAAGCAATTGCGAGAAAGCTATTCGTGAGGAACAAAGAAGATCAAGAGATAAGACATTTGTCACTCCACTTCATTAAAGAGATGCAAAAACAGGAGCGAAAGAGAGCACTGCATTAGCATTGCGAGAGAATGTATTTCGTGCAGTTATGGAGCGCAGCGGATACGATTGAGAGAGAGAGGCGCACATAACACTATCCTACGAGTGTTGTAATTCGCATCATGGTTCCCCTTTTAATTATTATTTAACTACTACTTCCACTCACCTTCTTTTTGGTATTGAAACCCAGGAATGACAATTTGCGAACATTGTTCTCCCTGCCGCTGGCCGAACTGAAACTCATTTTGTGTGTGGGAGAGTGTTCTGCTTCCGTTTACGTCAGTTTAAGTGTGTAATCAATCCAATTTTAGGATTGTTTTTTAGGTAATGTCTCTGCTTATTTGATGATCAGGCAGTAATCGGGCATCGAGCTGTTGTTGTGGGAGATCTGATGGGGCCACTGTGGATGCTCCAGGAGTCTCGGCATTCGGTGCAACGTTTGATAACAGCCTGAAAAGAAAACCAACAAAATAAAGACAGTTACAGCAAACAGTAGACACAACATGGAACGCTTTTTCATTAATAAACAATTTCGACTGTTGCTGCTGTTGCTGTCAGTGGCATGGAGAAGGCCAATTGAAAGCGATTCCCCCTTTTGAAAGAAATATCATCAACTGCTAGCGGGGGCAATAAAAACACACACACACACTCAGTACGAGTATTCCCGATGCGACGCGACTCAATTAAAGTCAAATGGCAGCCACACGCATGGCACCCCGCCCCGCACCGCACCGCTCAGCCCACAAAAGGGGTTAGCGGGAGCAGCCGCCAAAAGCACGCGACTTTTGTTGATGGCTCGTGATCAATTTGCGTTATTTGAACACTGAATCTATTTGGGAAGTGCCAGGCGGCATAGGGGCAGTGCGGCGGTGTCTCCTTTGCCACTGATCATCGCTCGTTCCCCCAGCCCCACTCTCTATTTTAGGCGATGCGATCTTTTAATGGCAATCTCTTGATTAATTTCGTCACATTTTATGGCTATGAATTCTTAGAAAATTAATGGGGCAAAGTGGCTGCCTGTTGTGGATTTTCGGTAGAGATCACTTAATCGAGCAAACAGCATTTATGTTGATTATATCTCAGGGTTCACGCCTCCCGTAATCCTTCGGGGCCTCTAATTCTAAGGGCGTAGCAGCAGGCATTGAACCCAAGTCAACAAAGTGAACGGGGAGCGAAGCCCACTGTCTTTCCAGCTGCTAAACGCTTCGTGTCGGCAGGTCCTTAATTATTCAGTAAGCACCTTTCTGTCTCTTTGTGTTTCCCTCCCTTGGGCAGGGAGGTGGTGTCCCAAAATGTACACAAATTCAATTATCTCCTTGGAAATGCCATTCACCATTCACACGTAAACGGCGCAACACGAGCAACGAGCACGGTTTGAGCACGTCTCTAAACACACACGACGATGCCACCACGTACACGATATTCCACAGGACTCGAAACTCGGGGAGACAGACTCGAGGCGTCCTCTATGACATACGAATGCCGTGTGAACCTGTTGCCGCTGCTCGAGCACTGATTTATGTGTGTGCTTGCTTCTGCACTAAAGAACGTTGGGGAAGTGAAGCGTCCCAAGCGACCCAAACAGCCGACACATCCAACCAAACCCGAAGTCCCCGAGTGCACGAAACCCCCGAATGCCGTAGTAATATCTCCCGAGTATCGTATCGTATATCGCGCATTGGGAATCCGACATGAGTCTCGCCTCATTTTAGTAGTCGCTGGCGAAAAAATTTCACTTTGCTGCTGTCTGTTGATTATGTAAGAAAATGTGACTTGTCTTTAAGACGTTAGGGTCGGGTCGGGTCTCCGGAGGGGGGGTTGGTTCCACTGTTTGCCTTGGATATTGACTTTTGTTTGCCATATGTTTTCCAGCGATAAAAATGTATAAAAAATTGATGCCTCTACTGCTCCTCCTCCTGCCTGTCTGTCTGTCTGTCTGTCTGTCTGTGTGACCATGGATTAAAAGTTAAGTTGCTGTGTAAACAGAACTTTCCGAACTTTTGGCTTTTGGCAGGGGCCTTGAACACTGTGGGTGTGCCTGTGCCTGTGCCTGTGCGTGTGTGCGGCACGTTACGGTAAATGTTATTAACTAATAAAAGGATTTCCCAAGTTGATAGATTGCTTGCTGTTGCTTGCATTGAAAGTGCTTCAAGGTTGCAAGGTTATTAATAATAATACAAAGTACCCTTCATGCCCCCAGACTGTGTGCTTCCTGCCATAAATCAGTCCTCCGATCATGTGTTTAGATATGCGCTTCTATTTTTATGTATTTCTATTAATTGTCTCTTCAAATTGTATGCATATTTAAACAAAACTAATGCTGCATTTGCTGTTTGGAGAGTGGAATTATGCGAGTTCAGTTTACACAACAATTTCTCTAGTAAAAACAATTTAAGCCACAACTTTGGTCTAACTCTGGTCTCAATTTTGATTGATAATAGGAAATACTATCAACAACAAGTTAATATCTTATTGCATAAGAATTTGAATGATTGAAATTAGTTTGAGGTAAACAAAAGGGAATTTTTCCTTGGCAGTTTATGATAATTATGGAAAGAGGAATATTTGTCATATTTATCGATCAATCTCCTCAAATACTTGCTCAAATTTCCTTGCATTCCTATTCCTATTAATCTCTATAGTTTTTCAATTATTCCCATAAAAGTACAACTTTATCAACCCAAAATCATCTGCCATATCAAACACCCTCAAGAATTTTTCCGCTCTCTTCTAGATTATATATAATCTCCACCGCACTTTGGTCAGAGTCGTGTATCGGCGTGTATCAGCCCTAGAGGGATCTACACATCAATGACATCAATAGCCACAACATACAAGATAGATCCATCGCGTAGGATCTACAGAAGACACTTGACTTTCAGCTGATTCCCAAACGAATTATTCAATCGAATGATCGCGTGACGTTCCAGAAGTGTCGATGCCCAAAAAGGAAAACAAATAAATTTACACATTTTTATATGGCACCCACACAAGACAGAGACAAATACACAAGAGTAAGAGAGAGTTAGAGACAGAGTTTGGCATGTTATCAAAATTAGAGCAAAGGGGGCAGGCAAACTGTTAAACACAAGACACAACAAACAAATCAGACGAACGCGACAGGTTGCCATAAAACTCAAAAAAACCTCAAAAGGTGTTACATTAAAAAACCCCCCCAAGGGAAATGCGGGAGGGAGGTGGAAATGGGCAGCCACCACACACACACACACACACAAAAATTAACGTGGCGATCAATTTTATGGGTTCATTAGCGTTTCGCTGGCAAACTGGACGCCAAACGATCGATCGAGGCAAGTGAATTAATTTTGATTTAAATTAATGTTTGTATATGGAATAATATCGTATACACCCGATAAAAACTGGGTTGGGGTATTAAAAGAACTGTCCGCTTGACTGTCCGTACTCTTGTCCGTTCCCACCTTACAGTCAGTCCTTATCGCAAAAAGCAATTCATTGCGATTCTATTTCGAGATACAGCTACAGGCTACAGATATTCTCTTTCTTAATTGATTAAACAGAATGTGACAGTAATGTATGGGGAAAGCCACGCTATGCGACATCATAAATTATCTAATTGTCTGCTATTATGTGTCGTGTCGCCCCGAAATTGATTTGATTTGCAAAGGCACGGCGCAGACATCTAAATTGATGGATGATAAGTGGGGAATGGCTTTACTTGTGCGCGTAATCGTTGGGTGAGGTGAGGTTTATCAGGTCTCGTGTGTTGGCTCTTTATCAGTGGTGCACTCTCAGCCGGAGCCAACCGGTTTCGTGCAGTCAGCTGCTGTTAGATTCATAATTTTCTGCACAGCACTTACATTCACGTGTTGGTGCAAGCCGAACCGGTTTACAAAGTTGCAACACTCATCAGCAAATCGGTGGCAGCTGCAAATGCAACTGACATTGAACTTGAAACAGCTCTAGCGATGCAAAGGAACGGAAAAAAAAGAAGGGGCAGCACCCAGCAAACCCCTTGGAACGTTAAAATGTCAGCATTTAAGCTCCGACACTCGAGATATCGAAACACCGGTAATTATATAGAAGTGTGCCCCCATATATATTGTGTAAATAATATTCCACTACATTTATGAGTGCATTAATATATTTAATGATTGAAAACGCACTGACCACTCGAGGGACTGGGGCTGTAAATCTTAGCCAAAGGGTCATAAATATTTAGTCAGACAGATTACCCAAACTCCTACAGCTCGTCACGTAGCCAAAGACCAAATGTGTAGCGCCACTTTCCACTTGAGTGACATTTGTACGTTCAGGCGGCTTTTGTTGAAGGATTTATGATCGGCAATTGTGGCGAGCACAAAGAGCACTTTAGGCACAGGGCAAAAACTGCACTGGAAACTATACACCAGCACGACAATTGGTAGCGAAATAAAACCATTTTTTAACGCTTCACCGATCCACACACACAGTGTGGGGTGTGTGGGGTGTGCAAAGTCACAACCAATTCCACCTGCAAATATGTACATGGGATTCGTAAATTCAAACGAAACTAATTGGACTTCTGGCACCACCGCCAACTAATGACTAAACATGCGACCAACTGAATGACTGACAGATCGACGACCGCTGTGGGGGCTGCTAAGAACCTGGGGGGGCGGGCCACAGGTTACACCCAGTCAATGTCAGGGTTTTCTTTTGGGGCTGCCGCGATAAGCGATAATTGTTTATATCTCAATCGGAAGCACAATAATAATAATTCGTCAACTCTTTTATAGATAACAATCTCTCTTCATATCGATTTCAGAGTAAATGCCGCAGAGTAAGCACAGAAATATCAAAGGATATCATCATCTGTCATTTGTGGGGGGAAAAACCATATAAAATATCTTGTTTCATCATCGAATGACGAATGAGGAATGGGATGCCTCATACTTTCGACTTCTACATGTTTATTTTCTGCTCAAAATTACTGACATTTCACAGAAAGAAAACCGCTGGCCATCATTTTATTATCGCGGAGTGACGCATGAGTAATTCTAATGGAAAAAGAAGATCATTTCGTCATTGAAGTGGGAGAAAAAGGGAATTTAAATAGAAATATATTTGCGGATTGATACCAGGATAGATTGAGAAGTATTTATCCACTTTTATCTATAAAAAAACCCCTGGAAATTCTTTCAATTTCGATTTCCACTACGAATTCTTCTACGTTCGTGTCTGTGGCCCACCCCCTCTACTTATTTCCCTACCCCTTCCTATACGCTTGCCCATTGGCAATTGTTATTACATACTTTCAATTTGCACACCGCTGCAAATTCCGTGGAAGCGTTTTCACAGGAACAATAAATATCGCTCTCAAAATACAGCAAGAGCTTGGCGGCAAGTTGTGTAAACAAAAGTGCAACGCAACCTACCACATCGGTGGGTGAGAGAACGAGACGGGAAGTAGGAGGAGGAGGAAAAGGAGGAGAAGGAGGAGGAGGAGGAACCCCTCACATAACAATAAAAACAAACTTTAAGCGTCATGATACATTTTGGTTTAAACATCAGAAAAGAACAATAACAAAAGCCTCAACAGCAAACCAGACACAGCAGCAGGAACAGCAGAAAAGGGAATAAAAGAAACAGAAAAACCAGCTGGAGGGCAGTCGAAACATTTGATACCCTTCTTAATTTCTTAATCTCTATTATATATATTTATTTTATAAAACTGATTCCCCCGGGAGTGCCCAAAAGTAATTTCCCCTTTTGCATGACTAACTTCCTGGGAAGTAGTCAAATATCCCCGCCCTCAAGGGTATCAAAAAGTACAAAAGTCGAGATAAACAAATTCTAGTTAACATTGTGTGTTTATCGTGTGCGGCGCGGTTGCGACTGCAACATAGAGGGTGGGGGGGGGAGAGCCAAATTATTGAGCCATTACTCACCAGATGTAACCGCAGGGGAACCGAAAGAGGGAAATACTCCCTACCAACGCCCCGAAGGGAAGTGTGAGAGCGAGAGCGAGCGAGCGAGCGGTTGAGGGTGCCAAGAGCACATATTTGCCAGGCGAGAAAGTGCAGCGCTCGCAATTCACGTGCTGCGCTGAACGGTTAGAGAGGGGAGGGAAGAGAACACTCAACGCTGATAGCAGAAATTCCCCCGAAGAAGAGTTGTTGGTACTCTTCTCTTTTTTTTTGTGTCCGTGCTGTTGTTTCTAAAAAATTTGCATAAAAAGCAGACAAACTTAGCATAAAGCGCCGCGGGGAATGAAAGAGAATGGAAAAGAGAACGACGATGGCAAAAGGGAAAGAAAAAAGGGTGGGAAGAGAGAAGAGAACGTGCTGGCTTGCCCTGGTGTGGCGGCTACAACTGAAACTGTGTTAAACTTTGCTGCTGAAACACGCTCAAAAAAAAAACAGCAACAAAGAACAAGTAAGAATGTTACAGTGGAGTAGTCGACTAGGCGATACCCTTCTTTACGAGCAATGATTTTGGTGTATGTTATTCCAAGTGGTATTGAAAGTGTTAACTATACTAGTTAACATTTTTCTCCTCCCTGCCTGTTACTTAACCCCAAACAAATCCATATACCCTCCTGTTTCTGCTCGTACCAGGGTGTATCCGTACCAAACACCGCCTCTTATCCGAACGGATCGGAGCGGAGGAGAACCGAAATAGAACCAGTTTCCAGAGAGTCACATGCTGCAGTTGCTCGGACTTGATTTATCTTTCTCCTTCGGCTGCCCAATAATGGTTCTGCGACAGTAATTGCGGGGAGCATGTCAGCAATTTGGGACCCCCCCCCCCCTTGGACTTTCGTTTCTTTGGTTCTGTTTCGGTGCGGTTCAGTTAATGTTATTTTTAATTGTTTTGCCTGGGGTACATACTTATTTTCTTTGACACTTTTCCAAATGCCACACACAGACTGTATCGAGTAGATTTTAATTTTTCCTTCTCAAGTGAAGGATGACGGGGGAGTGGGGGCAGGGAAATCGTCAGTCCAAGATATTCACAAATTTAAAGATCTTTTTGCACAGAAATAGCCGCAGACAGGTCGGATAGAGACAGAGAGACAGAGAGAGAGAATGAACTGTTATAATTGACACGTACTTCAAGTGCTCTCTTTCACTCTTCTCCTTCTCCTTACCTTTTACTCGGCCGCAACAAAAAGCAACAGCAACAACTGAAAGCGACAAACGCTGATGATGACGTCGCAGCTTTAGTTTCTCGAGTGATGTCCAAAAATTTTCCACTGCTTCCGTTGCGCGGGGTGGGGTGGTTCAGTCAGTGGTGCGTCTCAGGCGGTTCATTGATTGGGGGGCAAGGCAGTCAGTGGGTCCCTTGACTGATCGATCCGCTGAAGCTTTTGTTTGCGGGGGCGAAGGTTGTCGGCTTTTTGGCAAGAATAACATACAATACAAGCACACCACACACTCGCGCGGACTCACGCACTGGATAGGGTAGACAGAACGAACGCGTCGATAAAAACAACAAACGGGATAGGGAGAGAGAGAGAGAAAGAGCGTGAGACACAGAGAGAGAGAGCGGGGGAAACGCACAGTAGAAACAAAGGCACAAAAATGACAGCAAGAAGGCAACGTTGGTTGTCGCGATTATATGTAAGACTATTTTTTTTTTTTTTTATGTTCCTCTTGTGCCTTTTAACGACTTTCTGTCTATATTCTGTCTATTCGTACTATTTCGCGAACGAAACGAAGCAAACGAACGCGTGCAAACTTGAACTTGTTGTAAACGGTCGGCGGTCTCGGTTCGCCCGAATTGCTGCGCTGCACGTTTCGAAATGATTTACTGTTCCTTTGGCAGCACGTTTTTAAACAGCAGAAACAGCGAGCTTAACCGATCGAACACAACGCAGAGCAGAGCGAAACAGAGAGCGAAAACAGCTGCTGATGATCGCTCTTGCTCTCTTCTCTCTCTCCTTCTCTCTCACTCGCTTCGGCAGGCTAAATTAACCCTTACGCACTCCATATGCTGCGCTGTGACAGTTTTAGCCCTTGCTTATCTATTAATAACGATGGATTTCGTTTGTCAAACTAAAAATAATCAGCGCATGTGTATGCCCCGCCGCCAATATTTGCCCAGCAATTCACACCATGCAAATTACCCGATTTCCGACTCTCTAATTGATTGAATTTGCATCGAAATGAAGTGAATATCCACAAAAGTGTTAAGAACTGTTCGACACTCGATGGCCAATCCGGTCATAATTTTTACCCACGTCTACATGTCGAATAATTTTGATTGCGGCTTCATTCTTGAAAATTTACTGCTTCCATAATGATTAAACGCAGCCAAAATTATGCCCCAGCAGAAGAGAGGTGTGTTCTGTTGTTCTGTGGGGTGTGTGAGGTGTGTGAGGTGTCGTTCCGTCTGATAAGGGGAAACGAAAGCTGTCCGTGAGCAATCTAAATGAGAATTTACCTTATTTGATGTTTGATTCCCATGGGCATTTTCCGATTGCTCTGTCCCTACGTCAGAGTTTGAATTAGTTGTGAAAATAATCTTATTCTGGTCTATTGGGGATACAAATTTGCAAGTCCGTGCTAATTTCACGCAAATCTGTGTGAACTGTGTGGAAAGTGGTGCGACATTTTTGTCATTTAATCAAATTAATTACTCTATTTGACAGCTATTTTGATCGAGTGCGTTAATTGGCTTGGCTGGTGTGTCGAGGAAAATTTATGATCCTACGGGGGATTTGTCTGAGACCTGAACAGAAACTTGAAACTCAAGAGCACATGATTTACACGATTAAAAATCCATTATCGTGATAAGCAGCAACTATGTTTGCCGATTGCTCATACGCACGGCGCACACGCAAGGGTTAAGCGCCGGCCAAAAGTGTGCCTTGCATTTATGTTTGAGCAGCGAAGGCCAAAAGTAGGCTAGGAAATATGATAACGGAAGAGCAGATAACCTTGGAAGTGCAGTGGGAGGAGGGTTTGGTGGTGCGAAAAACGAAAACTCACTCAACATTTGAGTGAAAATCCAAGCGCATGCGTCACTGTCATGGTGAAAAGCTCTTCCCCATCTGTGGTGTTGTCCCAAAACTGTTGCTGTGTCACAGTTGCCGCCACCGTGGCTGTTGCTGTGGCTCCTTGGGGCGGCAGGTTGTAGGCGGCTCGGACTTACTAGAACTTCATTTTTATTATTTGATTTACCTGCAAAACTTTCACAATGCCCACTTCCGTGGCCGAGAGAGAGATGCGAGGAGAAAGGCGCACACACACACACACGGGGATATGGAAGGAAATTCTTAACTAAGCTTTACCTTTGTGTTTATGTTTGTACGAGACCCATCGCAGTTGTTGCTCTTTTTCCCTTTGAGGGGCTCGCTCTCCACTGTAACAGCAGCAGCGGGGGAGGCGAACAAGAGGTGAGTGCCTGAGGGCTCGTGTGTGGTGGGGTCGTGCGGGTTTTATGTGAAACTATCTTTTTTCAATTTCCCCGCATGGCTGCTGCTGTTACTGCTGCTGCTACTACTGCCCATATAAAACGGAAATGGAAGTTTTGTAAATGTTTTCTTTTGTATTTCTTTTGGTCTGCAGGCCACCCTATAAAAACGCCTCCACCCCAGAGCCACCGCCAATGCCCCTCATAGCCAGCAGCCAACAGCCAACGTAACGCGGCGCCTTTGAAAGATGAGCGAAAATGGATCTAACAGTAATAGTAGGAGATGTGTGTGTGTGTGTGTGTGGCAGTATAAGAGGATGTGTGGAATAATGGGAATGGGGAGAGGAGCTGCGTGTAAGAGGAGCATTGCAAGACTATGTCTAAGCGGGGGGGGACAGGGACAGCGAGAAATCCACATGGCCAGAGCCAAGTCGTGCACTTTAGTTTTTTGGCTTGCAAGTGTTGTTCCTATTTTTTTATGATACTTGACGCTCAGCCAAGCCACTAGGTGGATGAGGGTTGGATGGTGGAGGGTGCGGGCGCTGAGCTTCTGCTGGCTGCCAACATTTTCCGTCATTGTTCGGTTTCCTTTTGCACCTTGACTGTGCTGCCTGCTGCGTTGGGTTTCATTTGAGTTTGGTTTGGTTTGGTTTGGTTTGGTTTTGCCTTTGCTTTGGTTTGCCTTTTTGCCTCTTTTATCCATTGATAAGAAAGTGCTTTTTAATAGCCTTACACACTGACTCACTCCCCCACACAAACAGATGGTGATAGACCTTTTGCTGCCACTGTGTGCATCGGTAAAGCTGTTAAAAGAGTTTCTGCAACTATCACGGCACACACTCTCTCAGTCTTGCGCTCTTTATGAATTCTACGCTGCGCTCTCTTCACGCTGCGCTCTCTTCACGCTGCGCTCTCTTTGCTACGCTCTCTGCACGCTTTAAGCTCCATTCAAGCTGGAGCGAGCTTTCTCAACACCTGCGATCGTAGGCAGCCGCAGCAGCGCAGACTTTGTTCGTTCTGAAATGCGTAGCGTAGTCGCTTTTCGACGCTTTCGACGCTTTCGGCTATGACTATTGACTATTAATAATAACAGCAAATATGACGCGACGCGACGCCAGTACCGACTGAAAGATCGCGCTTAAATCAAGGTCACGCTGTGCAAAAAACAAAAAAAAACCAAACACAATTTTCCAATTCAATCAGCCAAAGAAGTGAGCAACAAGTGCAAGTAATGCGATGTAGGAGAGTGACCCGCAAAGGAATTCAGTGAACAATTCGAACATTTAAATCCAATTACAGTGGAAACTCTGCAACAGGCAAACAGACACAGAGTGTCACACACGGAATGTTTGCCTACAGATAAGATAAGCAATCAAAGGTGGGTTCTGGCAAGGTAGAAAAAAACACACACAGCACAGGGAACACAATTTGCATGCCCGGAGACATCTCGTGAATTTGTGAATCTGCTGAATCTGTGACTGAAATTGAAACCAACAAAAAGAATGGTAAACGAAGCAACACAAAAATGTAAGCCCAAAACAAGAAAAGGGAAATGCGAAAGAGAGCGGCAAAAGCCGAAGCGCCTGATACACTGGCCGCAGAGACAGAGTTATGTGTGGAGAGTTGTGGAGACTTTCGCTGCTGCTAATTCTACACTAAGCAGAAATCTCTCGCTGGGCAGCCTAAGCTGGATTCGCTCTTTGGTGGCTTCCTTGGGCTCGTCTGTCACCCAGCGCTGTTTATAGTGTATCAAAATGAGACTGTCACTCACCTTCATGGCTACCTGCTCTGGTTCGTGCTGCTGCACATTCATTTCCACATTGGGTTGTGCATATTAGATATCTAGGTGGGAGTCGGCGGGGTGTGCAAAGCTTCAACCAACCGCCACCATGCCCATGCCCACACCCTTTACCGAAAGTCAAAGGGGGGAGGGGGGGACTAATTGTTTAAACAAGAACAACTGCTCTCTGTGTGTGTGTGTGTGTGCTCAGAGTGGAGTGCTGCGGGGCATACGAAATCGATTGCCATGGCAAATATCAAGCATACGCATTGGTGCCTGCCTCTGGCCACACTCTCCGCTATGTGTGCTGCCAAATTGCGTGCCGTGTGTGGTGTGCTGTCTGTGTGCATATAATATATAATTAAAACTAATTTGATGACACACTCGAGTCTGCTCCAACTCGAGCGGGCTAAGAAAATGGCAAAAGTTACCCCCCCCCTCACCAATTGCGTAATTATTATGTGCCACACACACACATACATGGCTCGTTATGCTGACGATGAGTTGTCTGCGTTTTCTGTGTTGCTTTTTGCCGTAAAAAGAATTTTTTAAGTACGCAAATTGACAAACAAATGGAGACGATGGCAACAATTTGCAATTACACAGAGAGCGAGCGGGGGAGGGAAGCGTCTTGGTTGCACGCTTCGCTGCTGGCTTTAAACGAGAGGCAGCAGGCAGCAGCGTCTGAGCTGAGTCCGTAAGCCAATGTTAATAAAGACAAAGTAATAATTAAGTGGCGAGCAGCCGACCAAAAGACAACGGATGAGTGCAGGCTGAGAGACAGCACCTCAATTGCATTCATAACTGTGTGCAGTGTGTCCCGACTCTGTTTCCCTGGTAATTTATTCACAGCATGCAGGACACAAGACAGAGTGCGCTTCCAGCTGGCTTTTAAGCAATTGCAAAATAACAACAACAGCATGAAGCCAGAACCCCAAGCAGATCAATTTGCCGGCCCATTAATACCCTCCGAGTGGTCCTTTTGTTGGGCCAAGGCTTAATTGCAGTTCAGTTCAGGGAATTGTATGCCATTCACGTTTATGGAATGATTTTTGAAGCTAGCTTCGGGCTGAATGCTGCATTTTCCAAATATAATTATAGGCAGAAATCAGACAGAAATGTTGGGCATCATTTTCGACACAATTATTCCAGCCAGCGGGCCGTTCCTAAATAATTATTAGCCGCACTTTTGGCTGTGTGGAGATGTGAATTTAATTAGCAGCAAAATGCAAAGATAAACCCTTAGCAAAGAGCAAGCTGCACTCGAATGAGTACCTCGTGTGGCTGTTGCTTTTTCTACTTATTTATTTACAATAATTAATAATCAATTATGCTTGGGGCTGTGTCTTACACACGAAATTCTTTGCTTAGAAATTGGTTTTAAGCATAATTTCCTTACAGATTCGCCAGCATTTTATTGCCAGATTTAAGCAGAGAAAAGTAAACTTTTGCAATCATAAAACATAAGTCCCCCTTTGAGGGCATAACCAATCAATGCCAGTGGCAGTGCCAGGAGATTTGCCCCTCAACTCATGTTCGATAATCGCTTCGTTTCATTTTCTCTTCTAGCTCTGATTTCTGGGCAAACAAAATCTTTTGCATGCCAGTTTTTGAATCGATTCAGCAGCCAGGGAGTTGCATTCACAAAATTGCACTCATCAGCATTCGATTCACACATGCTGAGGGGGCATACGTATGAGCTTCCGGCTGTGGAGCAGCTGCCTGCCTGGCTGCCTGGCTGCCTGCATTGCGTATACGCCGCGTGTGCCATGCAATTTCCCTGAAGAATGAAGTTGAAGCTAACATTTTGACTGCTATTAACGTGCTCATTTTCACATTTCCACACAGGTCTGGTCTGCTGCTAGCAAAAAGCAATATTACAATTTACGATGACAAAGAGTCATGGGAAAAAAGTAGCGAAAGGCAACAAAAAATAGATTTTGCATGGATTTTTGTGCACATTTCCACACCTAAACCCATGCCAGCTGTATGGCACATATGTGCATATATTTCTGCATAAATCTATCTATGCCACGATGGATCGGCAAAAGTATTGAAGCCCCAAAAAGCAGCAGCGGCAGGAGCGGCAGGAGCGAGCGCTGCCCAGCTTTGAGCTTACTTTTTCCATTTCCCAGTGTCATTTTTGAAAAAAATTGATTTATGGCCAATACAGGGAGTGTGTTCTGTGTGTGTGTGTGTGCAAAAAATGGTCACACACACACACACACAGACACACACCCATCAAGTGTCTCCTGTTGAGGAGGCACAGAGCGTCGCCACAGCGGCGAAAGTTTCTCAATAACCACAGCATAAAGATCGCCTTTAAGCCTCATCCATGGACTGGCGCTTTAAGCCATAAATTTGTGCGAAATTGCGTGCCGAAAGACACAAACGAGCCGTCAAAGGCAGGCCATGCCCCCAGAGTTGGGTTAGGGGTTTACTTTTAGCACATTTTTGGGCATGCAAATGGCACTGGGAAATGGCAAATTATCTCGCTGCCTGTTTTGCGGCGCAGTCCAGAGCATTTATGTGCCGCTGCTTCACTGTACAGTGAGACGTAATTAAGCGCTGACTTGTTCAATTACCAAAATGCAATTGCATTCCCGCTCTCTGCGGCTCACAGCCGCAAAATGTCCGCGCGAATTGGCAGACAGCAGCGAAGAGTTTTCTGCCTTCCCCTGCCTTTTGTATTGCTGTCAATTTGCATTAAGGGGTGAGGGGGGATACTTGTGGCAGTGGCATGCTGCAAAATTAACTTGGCCTTTCTTTTGGCTCCTTCCCGCTTCGCGCTGCTGTCAGCGCGGCAAAAAGGAAACTTTTTTGTTTGTATTAAAATTGTCAGCGCTGCCAACTTGGCTGAGGTTTCGTTTCGTTTCGTTTCGTTTTAATCATGGCAAGAAAAGTTTGTCCTGTCAGCAGAACTATGCAACCCCCCCACCCACTGACATGTGGCAAGGCCTTCTGCTCGTTTTAAAATGCATGAGGGGCCAGAGCCCCCATTCAAAGTGTTTGTTGCGCACAGCTGTTGCATGCCACAACCGTATCGAAATGGGCAAATGGTTATGCCTATGCATGAGGCATATCGAAGGCGAATCCTGCGCTTGTCTCCGAGTTATTTATGTGCATAATCACAGCTGCCCCAACTTCCATATGCAACCAGTAGGATGCTGCCTGCTGCCTCGCGCTCTCTGGGTCTCTGGCTCTCCCTTTGGCTTATTAACTGCAAGAGTAACAAGTGAAAACTCGCGCAGCAGTGCCTCATTATGGTGGAAAATAAAAGTTGGCAGGAAGAGCTGCAGCAACGTGGCTGTGGAGGCTGTGAAAGCCGCGCGGCAAATGCAAGTGAGCCAAAACGACATAAGGGAGAGAGGGAGCGCCCGTGACTAAGGCAACAACTAACTCACAGCCACCAACTCAATGCTAAGGACACACACAAAACAAAACAAAACAAAGAGCGACCAAGGGAATACACTGCAGCAGAGGGAAAACTGAAAGCTGTAGCGAAAGTAAGGAGAGGAAAGGAGCGGCCACTACTCTAGGAATGTGTTCGATATCATAGCATAAAGCTGCTTAGTAGCTGCCAGTCCACAACAGAGAGAAATCTGCCTCAAGCTCTCTGAATATGTGTGGCAACGGTCAAAACCTTTGACTCAATTGATTTACGCAACGCACAGGCTCGTCAAAGGCGGTTTGTGGCATGCCACGATCTGGCCGCTGTTGGCCCTGCTCTGCTGGGTGGGTGTCAATTTTGTTATGCGGCATAAAGCTACGTGGCAAAGGGAGGAGCAGCCATAGAAGGCGCTGTGGATGCCGTTCTTCAGCTCAGCTCAGCTCAGCGCGGGGGGTATCTCTCTCTCTCTCTCTACCAAAGGCTGCTTGCATTTGCGTGAATATATTTCCTTTTCCCTTTTATGTTTGCTGCTTTGCATGAATGCATACAAAAAGGGGCAAGGGCTGTGCACTCTCTCGCTCTCTGCTCGTGCATGTGCAGAGCAGGCACTCTAATAAAATTTAATAAAAAACGTGCAGCGCCATATAATGCTTTGGCAATGGACTGGCCCCAGGCAACCCCCTGGGTGGCTGGTGTATCATTACCTGCACGCAAAACCGCAGCTATCGCTGGCACCCATTTGATTCTTCTTTTGATATCAAGCCCACTCCCTGCCCTCTTGTTGCAGGCGGCAGCCACCGCAAAGACCTCGTCTGTCAAGTGCACTTCGCGATGTGACACAAGATGGGCAAGTGTGTCTCCCGGCAGACAGACCCTACTCAGATTGCACCCCCAGCCAACGGGGCTGCGGGGCATCATCAATCCGCATTGAGACACACACTCTGGGAGCCAGATTTGGAGCAGGCCCACAGAATCTGGCAACAGTTGACAGCCAGTAATGAAAACACAGAGGAGCAGGAAACATTTTGTTACAAGCATCGAAGGCTGCAGGAGGCCATTGAGTCCCTTTGCAACGAGGAGCAGCAGCTGGAGCTGGAGCTGGAGCTGGAGCAGTTTTTGGTGCAGGAACTGCTTCAGGCAGCGGGCAACCAGCGGCAGGACACTCCAGCAGCAACAGCAGCAATCAGCACACAAAACAAAAGCTATCTGGCAATTGGAAATGGAAATGGAAATGGAAATGAAACTGAAGATGAGGTGAGTAATATTGATAAATGTTTATGGCCCACATAGGGGGCAGGCTCTTGGCTTTGGGGCTCGAAGTTTGCTCGGGCAAAACTATCAATAAATGTTGGCATCCTTTTGGCTCCGCCTTTGTGGCAGTTGTCAGCAGCTTGGACGGGTATTTCCCACAGGCAGCAATATTTATTGTTCAGAGAGAGAGAGAGAGCGAAAGTGTGCTGCAAAATTGATTGGAAAATGAGAAAAGGGATTAAGAGTGGAGGAGGTGCTTCTGTTTGTTGTCCTTCGATAATGGCTGCAGCTTAGACTGGTGCTCAGACTGCCGCCTCAGACATGTGTCTCACATCTTCCGCCACTCTGCTTGTGGTGTTACCTAATCTGAGGCGCTTACGCCATCACCCACTTGCACACATCCTCATTTAGCAGCCGAGCAGCGTCCCCAAGGGATAATTAGTTCCCATTTTACATGCAGCAATCGCTGTGTGGGGCGGTGCCCCGCTCTATTTTCTGCTATTGCACCCCAGAGCTCAACCCCTGGAATGAGCGTCTTTAAGGGTTAATTATATATGCATTTTACATGAGCAAATTGGGTGTACAGCTGGAGGGAAAGGGTAAGATCCCCCAGGACTGCTCGTTGAGCTGTGATGCTATGCAATTCTGAGATGTGATACGTTCTGCAGTGCCATAAATAGTGCATAAATTTCAGTTTAATCTTCATCTTTTTTTACTTGAAACTTTGTACCATTTCTTTGCTGTTTTTTAGGCCTTTCCATCTGGATTTCTGAAGTTAAAATTATATTTTGTAATCACTTAAACAATTTTCTATATAGTTCTATTTTTTAAACATTTAGTTTTATGGTTTTAGTTGTGTGTAAACAAAGTTTTAAAAGTTTCCAATAATTGTCAAGCAGCATCTATTTATGCCCAAACCCACAACGGTGCAGGTCTCTGCTAAGGTTGCCAATTTGGTAAATGCCTACATGTTGCCAAGACCATCAACCACCCGTGAATGTTGCTTTGCACTTTTGCGGCCACTTGTTTTTGTGTCTCTGCGCATGAGTGGAGACTTCTGCTCTCTCGCTTCCACTCGCTCTGACTCTGGTCAAGCGGTACAGAGGGAGAGACGCGTGTCGCAGCCCGTGAGAATTTTCCACATTCAATTTTCCGTTTGCCGTAGTTTCACAAGTGAAAAATTCGTCGCTGCAGCAGCAAAAACTCTGCAGCAAAAAACTAAGAAACAAATAAGCAAAGAAAACGCAGGAAAAACCAAAGAAAAGTGCAGTTGGAAAAACGTTTGCATAAGCTGAGGCGTGAAAAGTGTTTCAGCAGGCAGGCAGAAACAGCAAAGATTTTTCCAGCATTTTCAAGGACTCCCCGCAGCAGCAGTGGCAGCGGCAGCGGCAGCGAGTGGGTGTACCTGGAGCCAGCGTGTGTGTGTACCCGCTGAGAGAGAGAGTGTGTGTGTGTGTGTGTGTGTGTGTGTGTGTGTGGTGCAATAAATACAAATGGCGTAATTGCGTCTTTGCAATGTACATTGCTGGCATCAAGGATTCGAGTCAAAAGAAGACGCTAGGACTCCAACAGGAGCCGGAGGAGGAGACTCGAGCGAGAGCTAGCCAGAAGCAGCAGCGGACGGAGGAGGAGGCTCGCCGCACTAGCGAGTGCCCCTGCCGCCTGCCGACAACATGGATGAATGCGACAACCCCGTCGTCGTCACATTAGCCGCACAACACGGGGAGGTGGAGCAGCAGTCAGCGAATATCAATGATAAGAAGGCATTGCAGGAAGAAACAGATACAGCAGCAGCAGCAGCAGCAGCAGCAGCAGCAGAGACAGAGACAGAGGAGGAGCACGAGCACGAGGAGGCCGCACTAAACGCAGAAGTTGAGGCAGTCATCATGGTAAAGCCTGCTAGCTAAGCCCTTTGTGTGCCCTGTAGCTAATACCATTTAGCACGAGTATTTTTAGTTGCTGTCTGAGTCACGAAAGCACCCACAGATCCACCCACAATCACAGCTTTTGTCTTGAGTTTTTCCCTTTGTCTAGCTGCGGCATCTGTTGACCCCATTTGCTGCCTTTCATTTTGTAATCGCTTTTTATGCCATGCAGGGCCAGGCGGAGAGCAAGAAGCATGGCGGCAAGTCGCAGCGTCGCCAGCTAAATGGCAATGGCAACACCACACAGGACATGTCGCAGGACTCGCTACAGCAATCGCTGCCGCCACACACCAAAGGCACCGCCATGTCCTTTGGCTTTCGCAAGAAGCTCAATGGTACGCCCAAAAAGCTAAAGAAAATGCTGGAAAACCAAACCAATTGCCACGCGGCAACAGACACAAAGGACGACAATGGCAATGCGCGTAAGTTGCCTGATTTTAATTAATTTTTTGGACACAATTTAACAATCATTGGACACGACAGCGCCCATTCACTTTGAGAAAGTGGGCGCCGCAGCTGCAACTTCCTCGGTGGCGGGCCAGCGCTTTGGCTATAGAGGAGGCCCAGCGCCGCCCAGACCCGCCTCCACGGGCTTGTATGGCAACAGCGAGGAGTCCGCAGAGAATGCCCAAAACAATAACAACAACAATCAAGGAGGAGGAGGAGGAGGAGGAGCAGCTGCCAGCAGCACGCCGCTGGTTAGCAATTGTAAGTACAACGAAATCAAAGGAAAAACTTGAGTTCCATGAACAACTTTTGCCTGCGCCTAGTGAAACGTCGCTCCAAGAGCGCACATGCCGGACGCAGCAGCGGCGATGGTGGAGAGCCCAAAATAGCACAGCCCAAGACGCTCACATTCAATCTGAATCAGAACACAACCATTGAGTACCAGCGGCGGCAGTTCTTTGGGGAGATTGCAGATGACGCCACGGGAACTGCACGCGGCACACAGGGGCGCTGCAACTACAACAATTTGGCCAGCATGCACGCGAATGTCATGTGAGTCAGGGGCAATGTCTGCCACTGCCTTTAGCTAATCCTCAAACTGCTCTCTCTCTCTCTGCCCGCCACAGTGTACGCCCCACGCCGCGTCTCACGCCCGCCAGCTTTGCCAAATTTACGCTGCAAACGGTGAGCCTGCCGCGGCCCGAGTATCCCGTGGCCATCAGCCTGACGGCCACCACACCCACCACCCCGAGCAGCAGCGTGCAGTCGCCGGTGCCCAGCCACTCGACGGGTGCCAGGGCCAAGGATATTTGCAGCAGTTCGCATTTGCGGCAGCATCCACTGACCTCGGTGCATGTGCAGCCCACACAGGCGCAGCAGCAGCGGCAACTCGACCAGAAGAGCGTCAAGCAGCTGACCAACAACTCCACGCGGCGCGGGTTCTCGGGCAGTCGTGAGATTAGCGCCGATTCGGGCATTGCCAGCCTGGACATGGCCTTGGATTCGGGCAGCTCGGGCAGCAGTTCGGCGGGCTCCAAGCGCAGTCGCAGTCGGCCCAGGAATCTGCAGATGGTGATGAGCGGCAGGCACACATTCGAGGTCAAGGATGTGGATGATCCGCCCTCGAGCGAGTCCAACTCCTTTGTGGAGCCACTGGCGCTGCCCAAGCTGCCCACAGATGGCAGTCAGGCGGTGCCGCTGCCTCTACTGGGGCTGGTGCGCTCCAACACGGTGCTGAGTCGTGAGAGCTACGAGCGGCGGCAGCAGGAGGAGCAGCAGCAGCAGCAGCAGCAGCAGCAGCCAGCGGAGAGCAAGCCCAAGCCCAAGCCCAGTGGCTCCGATGAGAGCGAGAGCGTGGACGAGGAGAAGCTCTATTTGGACTCATCCACCTCCGAGAAGAGCGCCAAGCAGCAGAGTCACTCCTCCGTGTCGAGTTCGTGGCGCTGCCAGTCGTTGGCTGGGGAATCCCTCGCCGCCATGGACTGCAGCAGCATGAGCATCAGCGACAGTCAGGCGCCAGAAGTTGGCAGAGAAAACGACAGGGAGGAGGACATGTCCCTCGGCCTAGACGAGATTAGTCTCAACCCAACGGACATGCCTTTCAGCACAATTTGTGAGTAGCTTTTGGGTGGAATCTTCCTTCCTCTAAGTAATATCTTTCCCCTCCTTTAGCTTCTATGACGGAGCCACCCACTCCAGCAAAGCTGGAGCCACTCAACATGCAGCTGGTGGACAATCGCGAGGCATCGCCTCGTCCACGCTCCTTCAACAATGCGCTCAACGAGTCCAAGTTCGCGGAGCTGGCGCTGGCCAGCAGCAGCTGCCTCCTGCTGGACGATGAGACCTCGCCCACGGACAGCCTGGTGAGCAGCACCGAGGACTCGGAGGAGGCGGCCAGCGGCAAGCTCAAGAAGCACAAACTCAACGAGGAGCGGCAGCAGAAGGACATCGACATCGACATTGACATTGATGAGATCTCGCCGCTGCTCGAACTGGAGTTGGACACGGGCTGCGGCAGTCCCGTCTCCCCCGGCACGCCCACACATGCCTCGCACTCGCTGTCCCTGGGCTCGGACTGTGGCAATCTGATCGATGACGAGATCGCCGATCAGCCGGCGCTGCTGTGCAACAGCGAGGCGCACGAGCTGGCCACCGATACGCCAACGCTGATGGAAACGCACACGGGATCGCTGCGCTCGCTGAAGAGTCAGTCGAAGGCACGCACCGCCCTGCAGCAGGCCATCGAGTTGAGTCTGCGCACGCCCATGGCCGTGCGGCAAGCGGTGCTGGATCGTGCCGAGTCGCTGGACACGCTCTCGCCCTGCGAGTCCATCTGCTCCGACGATCTCATGATGGACTTTGACATGAACAGCAGCGTGGACTCCATTGATCACATGGCGCCCGTGTCGGGTCGCAGTCGCAGTGGCTCGGATCTGCATCGCATTGGCGTCGAAATGGATTCCGCGCAGGCAGAAGCCGAGGCTGAGCTGCTCTCCGAGATGGAACGCAATGGCAGCGATGTCATGAAGGAGCTCAATTCGCTGCTGCGCGGCCGGCGGCAGCGTGGTGGCGCCAGGGAGCGCATCAGGTGAGTGTTCCTCCCCCCCCCACCACCGCAAAACCCACTACCCAAACGTAACGGAACTGTGGCTAATGGAATCGTGATGCTTTGTGCTCGCTCTCTTTGCCGGCACTTGGCTGGCAGCCAACGAGCGTCCGTCCGAATTATTATTAAGTGCACTCTCCACTCTCCACTCTCCACTCCACTTCACTCTCCACTCCACTCTCTTCCCTGTCCCGTTTCCACTTGATTCTGCATGGCGCTGTGGTCTGGCAAAGTCACTGAGTAAATCAATCAGCAGCCTCCTCTGCCGCTCCTACTCTTTTTTTCGCTCTCTTTCTATCTTTGGTTGCTAGACTTCCGCCGGCCGGCAAGCGATTAACCCTAGAAAGGCGAATCTTTCCGAATGTGACTTTGGGTACTAATAATGAAATAATTTATTGTATAATATTTGGCGGATGAAAATGATTTTAAATTATTATGCAAATATTTTCTACGATTATCATTATGCATATTTGTTTTGGATAAATTATCTTTACCCTTGTTCTTCCTAGTGTTAATTTTCACCGTCACAGCCAGACATGCATATTCCTTAATTAATTCATTACCAAAGTAAACAGCAACATCATCAGCACACAACTCACACAGCGCCGTATTTGCTTGCCCTTAGCGACGCCCTGGGGTTAAGCAAATGCAATTGGATTTCTTGCCGACTCAGAGCTTAGGCATCGCTCCACGCCATCGGGGCACGCCCTTTTGCCAATGCATTTGTAATGGGAAAATGGAAATTGAAATTGAAATTAGCCCAAAATTAGACAGACAGACAGACAGACCTCAGTGGGACAGGTTGGAGCAGTGAAATAAAGCACCGCAATGATTGCAGTTATTTCTGTGTGTGTGTGTGTGTGTGTGTGTTTGTGTTTGCTCAAAAGGTTACTCCATTCCAACCATTCCCAGTGCCAGTTCCCGTTGCACCATGCACAAAGGAGGGGAGAGAGGACAACTCTGTGTGGGCCACAAGCAAAGCCAAGACCGAAACCAAAGGCAACGGCACTTGGCATTTTGCAGCAATTGTCTTTGGATTGGATCCCTCTTTCGCGCTCTCTCTCGCTCTGCAGGGGAGCCTGCTCCGGTCCGGGGGCCTGGCCAAATCGTGGTCGTAGTTAAGATAACATTTTGACTTTGGCCTGAGACTTGATGGCGAGTGCCGCATTCTTTTGTCATGGCAACGGCAAAGCAAAGGCAACAACAACAACAACAACAACAACAACGGCAACCGGCAACGGCACGACATCCACGACAACCCATCGACGGAGTCGTTTGCTGGCTCTGGCCTAAAAGTTGGAAAAACTTTATTGCGCCCCGCCATGCCATGCCAGGCCATGCCATTGCCATGTGCACTGGAAGGAAAAATCAATTGTCTGGCAGTGGAGGGGGATGGGGGAGGAGGGATACTGATACTCGCATGAACCTGTTTTCTCCCAGCCAAGAGCCAAATAACTGCAAAAATGCCGCTGGCCTTCTCAGGTTTTTTTTTTGTTTGTATTATTTTTTGTTTAGTTGTTGTCGTGCCTGCACATGCGTCGGGACATTGGCTTTCCCTGCTTGCCACTTGCCACTGGACTTTCCTTGGCACTCACTCACCATGCAGCATGCAGCATGCACCATGCGATCCGATCCGATCCGTTACACGTATTAGAAGGCGCTCCAACCTAAGGCCATAAATAAACAGCTGCGCAGAATCCATTCAGCGGCAAGCCACTCGATAATCCACCAGTCCAAGCAGTCCCCAGAGCTCATATGCAAAATCTTATGAGAGCCCACACTTGTGGCTTAACCTTGAGACTGTGCCAGGCATGAGTCACTCTCGCGACCCGCTCACCCGGCTCACACAACTGCTGAGTAAGCCATCGCCTCAACAGACTCAATCGCCCATGATCATCGGCTCTCCACTCTCAGCCACAAAGTGCAGTGAAGGCAAAAAAAAGAATAAAAAAAGTTCCATTGTGATCGCTGGCGTTGCAGCCGGAATGTGGAAATAAATATTGTGGCTGTTGCCATTGTCTGTCTGTCCGCCCAGGAGAGCTTTCTTTTCTAACGGAGATACATAGAAGCAGACAAGACCAGACCAGACCAGACCAAACCACACTACTTGCCCACACATTCTTGCACTGCTTGCTTTATCTCTTGCTGCTGCTGCTGCTGTTGCGTTGCTTGCCGGAACGTGGTGGCAACGAAACATTGGTAACAACAGCAACCAAAGCACCGTGGCGCGGAAGGTGGATTTTGTGTGTAAATGGAAGAGAGGAACAAAGCTTTCGGAATAGCAGGAGTATGAGTTTTTGAATCGAATAAGATTGCAGTGTTAAAAAAATATATGTGGAAATATTTGCAGCACATATTGTAATTTCTGCCACAACAATTTTTACTGCTCGCTTCTCCTCTTTGTGCCACTGTAGCCGCAATGCTGTTTCGTATCACTACCATTCCACACCGTTCCCATTAGCTCCACACTGGGGCTCGCTGGCTGTCTGGCTGTCTGGCTCCAACTTCAACCAACTTCGATACCAACTTCAACTTTAGTATTAAACAAGATCTCAAAGCGCGCGGTTTCACTTCGGAACGGTACGGATTCCTTCGGCTCAGCTCAGTCTCGTCTCTGTAGAATAATAAATTAAGCTCGTACTTTGTTGTGAGACCCAAACCCTAACCCTCTCGGGCAACAATCGGCTTGTGGTTCTGCTCAATCAATTCAATCTGATTGTGTGTACAAATTGTGCAAGAAACGTTGTGCGAAGAGCGCGTGGGAGCCCCGCAGCATTAATTGCGTTGTTAATAACCAAAAAGAAGCGAGGGAGAGAGGCACATAACAAAGAGCAGCAACCCAAAACAAGAGCCAGTGACCGCAGAGCCAGGCGGTTGGTGTTTTTTTTTTTGGCATTCGTCGCCTCTATCGATACGCACCGCTGCGTCTTTCATGCACAGACAAGAGCTTCAACGTTTATAACAAAAGACAAGCCGCGGGCACAAGTGTCAATGGAACAGGCCAACCATCCATAAAAGAAATCATTCCACTTAGGCTGGAACTGCGACGGCGACTCGGATTCGGCTTCGGACTCTGGCTCTCAAGTGAGTAAAAGGTAGAGGGAAAGATATTCAAACCCCCAACGGCAATGTGGTAGCCAAAGTGGGTGATGATTTCCGCTCTAAGCGTTGCGTAATTTGATATGCAACCCGGTGGCAAGTGGCAGGGGTTCGTTCAGCTGTGTGGAGCACACAATGTGAATGAACGAATGACGCTGGAAAGTGTGTCACATGCAAATGCAGAGCGAAGCGGTGGCAACCTTTTTTGGTAAATCTTTGTTGGAATTTGATGCCATAAACGTAACAATTACAGATATCAGCTATACACACACAAACACACTCGCACACCATTCCATTTGGTAGCTGCTTTGGCCCCTTTTATGGCTTTGAAAGCCACTTCAAGTTCAGTTGCATTTTGCGGCGCGTTCAGGTTTAGCCGGGGCCCACGGATTCGGTTGCCATCTTCCCGCTGCTGGCTGGCATGCATAATTCAACAGAGAAGAACATTTGCCACACACAGAAATCCAAGCCAGAGACATAAGCTGGCCATACGGCAAGAATCCCAAGCCCCATCGAGTGCAAATACAAAGATACAGATAGGCTGCTGCTGCTGCTGTCTCGGCTGCTACCTACCTAACTACCGGTCTGTCTGTCTGTCTGTCTTGGAAGCCAAAAGGGGGGATGGCTTCCATCGTTGATCATCTGCGGGAACTGCGCGCTGTGGCATGCCACAGATACACACTGTCGGATGCCCATCTCGAGACTCGTCTCTCTCCCTGTCTCCATGTGTGAGAATGTTGCTTATTTCTTTATTTTTTATGGCCATTACCATTACTGGCGTTACGTGCTCTACCCCCATCCATCCATCCATCATTCCCCACCATCCTGCATTTCGCTCTAATGAAGCTGCCTTTCCATTTCCATTTCCTTTTTCCTCTTCATTTATGCAAGCAAAACTTTTGTCTGTCTTCAAAGGTCTACGGACTCATCATTCCCTTTTGCATTAAACATCCCAACCATTCCGCTTGATAAAGATCTCTGCATGCGCGCTCTCTCACTCTCTTTCTCCCTCTCTTTATTTCCATCTCCACCTCTGACTCCTCTCTGACAAATGACGTTTTGTCGCACAAATTGATAAGTGCCGTTAGGAAGTGGAAGTTCGAGTAGTGCATGTCAACGCCTCTGCCTCTGCCGATGTTACCGCCAGCCAATGTTCCACTGATTGCCGCATGATTGTTATTGTGATTGCTTGTCATTGTTGTCCGTTAGCAGTAGGCAGTTGGCTCTTACCTGTTCGCGGTTAACAGTTGCAGTCACCGCCACACAGCGCTACTGACAGCGGTAGCAGCTACGGGCAGCCGTACAGTTGTCCAAGTTAGCGACAGTTGCCGTTGGCTGTAGCGCACGCGTGGAGTCATCACAAAATGAGACAGATAAATGCAGACACACAAATGCACATACACAGATGTGGGGTGCAGGCAGGTGCGTAGACTAGAGGGGGAGCAACTTAGAAACTGCCACGAGATCGATCTGCTTGAACGCAGTTTTTGTTTCATTTCTAAATGGGCATTCCTCGCTCTTTGTGTGCCAATAAAACTGCACTTAAATATTCCATTAAATATGATATCCTCCCCTTTTGGCCATACCTCTGCTCTGTATATGTTTGTTTAAGTTTAATGCTGTGTTAATGAAGCTGTGGAAAATGCATTTGTTGCTGCTGTTGCCACCTGCTGCTGCAATGACGAGCATTTTGTCGTCTGACAATGGCTTTTTGTTTTCTTTCCAGTGCGAAATATCCGGCGCTGCTTAGACGAGTAACATTGAAAGAATGAATGCGAGCAGGGCGGAGTGGAGAGTGTAGATAATGAGTAGAGCAGAGTGTGGAGAGTGGAGTGGAGAATGGAGTGTGTATTGTAGCTCTTTGAGTTGTGCAAAATACTCGCATTGTTTTGACTTGAGTGGATCTCCTACCTCGCCACCTCATGCTTGATTGCTGCATTCATATTCATAGTTTTTCAAACTGCACCCATGGTGCTCGTACAAAACAACATAAAGTTGGCGTGCGAAAAATACCCAAAAACAAAAACATTTGGAATATTTGTATGTCTCTCTCTCTGTGTGTGTGTTCGAGCTCTTTATGTGTGTGTTTGTGTTTATGATTTGGACACACACTAATGTAAAATGTAAACTATAATTGCTTTTTGTTTGGCAAGCCAGCCACGAGTTGTATCCATTTGATCTTTTTTTGCTTGGGTTACTTGTACAACAAAATTGAACAAAAAACCGAAAAGCATAAACCAAAAACCACAACAAAGTGCAGGCTCCAATGCGCCTCCATGGGATTATGCAATTCCGCGCTGATTGTTGAAGTTTTATTGATATTTAATTAGTTTGATTACGAGCTGTACTAATGAATGAGTTAAGGCTGCGTTTGCGGGCTCAAACTTCAATTTATTAATTAATTAAAATGATGATACAGTGGACCTACCCATAGCTATGCCACCCGCTGGGAATTCCAGTGTATTATTTATGCCACCGAAACCGCCCGTTGAAGCGCTGTCCATTTGCTATAGAAGAAGGCAACTTTCAGCCATAAAGAATCACACTTTCATCTGCTGCCGAGCTCTACCGAAACTTCAATTTGCTTATGCCCCAGATTCCCAGCAAGCAATTTCCATGGTATTTCGTGGAGCAAAAAAAGCAACAACATAAAAAATTCACTAAAACAAAAGAGTTATTTGCAAAAATTCCAAAAGTCTGTGCCAGTTTCTGTCTGCAGCGACGACCACTTTTGCTTTCCTCAAATTGGTTTTATTTTCTTGTGGGAAATTCATTCGTGAGCTGCTCGAATTAATTTCATTTTCTTAATGGAAATGGATACGCCAGCTCCAGCGGCAAATGAAATATCCATGATGGAGCTACGAATTATTATGAAGACAAAAAGCCCATTAACCTTTGGTCAGGGTCTGGGTCGGACTTTGCGATTGGAGCATCGAAAAACTATCAAATGAATGAATGAATTTTTGGCCTTTTGGCTGGCATTAATAGCTGTACGTTTTTCAACAGTTTGTATAAATTATGCCGTGAAATTTTTGAACATTGCGCGCATGTTCCCTACTCCCCCCCCTTGGAGCTACAACTCCAAGTGCACGCAACAGTTGCCTCGCGACTTTCACTATCCACCAGCTGAAGCAGCAGCAATAGTGCCTCTCGGATTTGTTTGCAGCAGCAGCCAGCATTCATGTCAAACTTATCTTAATGGCCCATTGACAACTGCCTTCGCCTGTGCCCTCATCAATGGCATTCACTTTCATTGCGGCCACGTTAATTGAAAGTGCACTAAACTAATTAAAAGGCAGAAAAAAGGGTACGTAGCCAACACCCCAAAGAGTGTGTTAGTGCTGCATAACTCGTCAAAGTCTCCACAAACAGCTGTTCGGGTATCTGCGCATGTCCCGATTGTGTCATTTGCCACCACAACACACAACAAAACACAAAGCAAACAACATGGACGAGGAGCTGGCTGTAAATTCCTAGCTAGAAATAGAAATTGGATTTGTGGAACAATGTCCGAGGCGGCGGATACTTCCAGCAAATTGTCGCCCAAGGGTGTGCGTCGGGTACGCACCGATCTGAAGACATCGGAGAATGTGTTCCTGGGCAGCGTTAGACCTCCACGAAAAACCTCACCCATGGCCATCAAGGGCCACCATCAGCATCAGTATCAGCATCGTCATCATCATTATTGTCACTGTGCGCCACCGTTTGTGGCAAGCAGTGCGCCGCAGCCAAACGAAACATATCAACATCTCAGGTGGTGGCAAGACACTCCCTAGACTGCCTCAAGGTCCTTTCTGAGTCATTCCGTTGCTCATGCTTGTGCCTCTTTTCAGCGCCCAACTGCCAGCGCGTGCCACGCGGCTGCTCAATCGTTCGCGGCTGCAGGACCAGCAGCAGCTGACGGGCCACGACTCGGACAACAGCCTGCGGTCAAGCCACAGCGGCGGAGCTGCAGCGGCAGTGCGCAAACGGAGCACGGCCAATTCACGCGCCTCCACGGCCTCATCCACGTCCAGTCTGCCGCGCCAGCGACAGCCACAGAGGCAGCAGCAGCAGCAGCAGCAGCAACCAGGTGGTGGCACTGCCTCGGGTGGCTGTGGCCTAAGGGTGCGCGGTTTGGGTAGCGGCGAGCTGCACAGCTCATCGGACGACCTGATGTTGTATGACAAGTCATTCCGGAATGCCATGATCCAGGATGTGCTGCAGTTCAAGAAGCAGCTGCTGCGACTGCGGCGCATTCTACAAGAGGTGAGTAAGGCATCCTCCCAATAGCTGTTTATGAATTTTCGTTTTCCATTTCATTCATGGCACACAACACACTTTACCATCCACACACTTGCACGAACCACTTAGGAGACTGATTTTGATTTGAAAAGGGTACGTTATGAGCTCTATTTCGTGCATAATTTCATTCGGGGGAATACTTTTATGCCTGGCAGCCTTCATTGACTCTCTCATGGTTCACTTCTCTTGCAGACGGAAACCCTGAATCCATTTGAGAATGATAATCTACAATTGTTTGCCGCCTGTGGGCTGGATAGCAAGCAGCTGAACGACATCGATTTGGCCAGCCTCACCTCGTCCACGACGGAGGATCCCTTGCAGGAGTTAACGGATCTACGTAGACAGGTGGTTTACCTTCAGGTATTTGCACGTTTTTTGCATTTCGTTCGCCCGATTAGATCACTGGAAAAGACAACAAAACAAACAAGAAACTAAAACAAAAGCAGGACACGCTCATACTATAAATATTTCTATTGCTGTTGTTGTTGTTAAATGTTTATTAGATACATGGAAACATATCCATGTGGCATGTACAAATATTCAGCAGAAATACTCAATATATAATCAAACTTTCTGCTTATTAGATTATCTACTCGTAAACGTACTTTTACATTCTTCACTTTGATTTTGCAAACACAGAAAACACACACAGAAAAATGCCACAAAAGTCTTGCTGTTGTTGTGTTTGATTCATGGATAAATATGCTTTGATTGATGCACACAATCAAAGCATGACTATCCAAATCTCAGATATATTAATGCCTAGCAAATTTATAATCGTCTAGCTATGATTTTGTTTACTCTCTTCTGGCTTAGTTCTTGTATTTGCCTAGTGACCTTCAATGACTCGCTACACAACACTGAACATCTCATTAACGTTTCTCTCTCTTCTCTTGTTTGTCTCTTGCGGTTTGGCAGGGTCAAGTCGATGATCGTGATCGCACCATACGCCTGCAGCGCGATCTCATTGAACAATTGGAGGCCGAGAAGCGGCTGCAACAGGTTGCTGGCAGCAGCAGCGACGCTGCCAACAAGGAGCTCATCAGCATGGCCACCCAAACGGAGCGGGTAAGCAAAACACACAGCACACACACACACACACACACCACACCCACACTCTAAGTGTTGCACAACAACAACAATTGACTAACCACATTCTGTCGTATGTATTTCTATTTTCAATTCCCAATACGGATTCCACTTTCACAGACACGACCACTTGCCATTGGTGCGGAGGGTTTGTCCAGGTAGGCCATACAACCATTCCAGACATTTATGTTTGTTTCCAGCTATCTTTCGATTTTCTATTTACAATCATTGGTTTATATTTGTGTGTAATTTTGTGTGTTATTTGTTGCTATTTGAGTGTTGCAATTTTTGTTGGCTTTTCATCAGAGACCACAAAAGCCGCAGGCTGTGGGCCGCAGCTTAACAAAACTTATACAAAATGCTGCCAGATGTTGCTGTTTGCTGCTGCTTAATGTTGGCTTGCAGTCTCGGTTTCGGCGTTCAGCTTCAAGGTCCGTTGGTGGCATGCAAATCAGCTCGTAGCCTGGCCACTTTCCTGCCGCCTGTTGACGTTAATGGCAACAAATTGCAATTGGAGCAGTCTAATTAGACGGCCAGTAGCTCAAAGCAACAGCAGCAGCTGGAATTTCATTTTCTTTTTTGACTAACAATAGACCGACCCACTTGAGACGCTAAGCGGAGAGCCTTAAACCCATGATTAACCAATGTGAACCTCTCTTACTCTCTTACACTCTCTAATGCCTGCCATGGAATACACAACACTTATAACTAACATTTAACAACACTCTTTACCCGCCACACAATAATGCAATCATTTATAGACTACAATTTGGGGAGCCGCCACAGGTATTAATTTGTGACTTCATTCTAGCCATCATTGTGCTCTGTGCCATTAATTTGTTATGTATCCTACACCTAAGCTATAACTGTCGAGATAATTGTAATCAATGCACCAACTAAAACCTAAAACTAAGCTTTAAACTAATCCAATATAAATGCATAGCCAGTAGCTAATTGTTTAAGCAGTTAAGTTGTTAGTGAAATTGTTACTGAAAATTTAACACTGTTTGTGAAACATTTTAATTGCATGCGGCAATTAAATAGAGTCCCAAGGTAAAGCAAACTAAACCCAAACAAAAGGCGCGGAGAGGAGCAGCAGGAGCAGTCCCTCCCACTTCTCTCTGCGCTTCGTAGACAACTATTTGTGGCATTACCAAACACTAACAAATTCTTGAAAATCAGCTGTAAACAATCATTAATTCGGTTCCTCTCTGTTCGCAGAAGTAAGCCCGAATATACCAGTTATACGACACACTTTCCGATGCTCCACTTGCACGACTCCACGCTGGCCGCCACCACCATCATACGCCATCACCAGCAGCAGCATCACCAGGAGGAGAAGGAGAAGGAGCAGTGTCCTACCCTCAGCCAGACCCGCCGCCACACCATCATCTCCACGACGTTGACAAACTACAATCAGCAGCTGGCTGCAGCTGCCACCTATCCGAGCACGCCGCGACGCGCTTCCATTGGCTGGGACACGCCGGCAGAAGCCTCCAACAGCTATAAGCCAGTGCGTATAACATTGATCGGGGATCCCCTGCCTCTACCGCTGCAGAATGGCAGCTTTAAGTCAGCGTCAAAGTCCTCCTCATCGCTTTCGTTGCCGGGTTCCGCCGCGCAGAATGGGGTCAAGATGCGGTATCCGAATGGCTGCCAGAGCGCCAAAATGAAGGCGAGCAATGGACAGCACTATCAGCCGTTGTACAACAGCAACAAGATGACAAGCCCAACCGTAACTATAGTCTGATTTAGAAACCAGGATAGCCAGGATAACCCAACAAAACCCACACACAAAATTAAATATTTGCATAATCTTCGATATAACTTGAATATTAATCCGTATATCCTTTCGCTTGAAAACATTAAAGTAAGATCAGATCCGATGCTGGCTACGTTGTTTGGCTTCCAATTTGGGCAAGATTTGCAGAGCCGCCTCCAGAGTTAAACAAAAGCACAAAATATAGAAACAGAAACCTGTGCGATTAGTGGAATACTTATATTATATTATACTAAACTATTATATTATATTAGATGTTTAATCTTAAACAGTACTTAAAGCAGTTCGTAGTGGAAACCAACTTTTAATTGTTAATTTTGTTGCCTAAGTTTTAGTCTAAGTTCTAGGGGAGATTTTTCTCTGTCTGGTTTTACCTTCCCTGTATTTTTGTATATTATCAACAAGAAAATAACTCACACACAATCATGCATCTATTTTTTTCTTCCTCCAAGAGCACAATAAACATAAATAAACGTAAAGTAATTATTCAAAAATAATAAAAACTTCTTATGTAAACCCAAAATATTATAAATGTAAAAGTTATAGAAATTATCTATCAATAGAGAAATATAAACAAAAGATTATAGCAGTGCGTGTGCGTGTGTTTCGTTTCCATCATTCCTCCGCCTACACACACTCGCTCAGACGGAACGTCACTCAGCTGTGTGTAGTGTCCGGCCCCTGAGCACAATGACGCGCCAAACCGGCTTGGACAGTGGCTCTTCCTCTCTCTCGCTCTCTCTCTCTCTCTGTTTAAACTGGATTTGCATTCCCCACTTTGCATTCTGCGGTTGTTCTTATCAACGCTTGAATGGGAGCTTTGGTTTTCAGTTGTGGCCAAACTGTGTAGCAGGAATGTTGGTGAATGCCAATTGGGTTCTGACTGTGCTGTGGCTCTGCTGCAGGGGCTTCCCACCGGTCGGGGCTGTACCCTGCCAGCCGCTGGCCTGGCGTAGCTTCGAGTGTCGTGAGTTGTCCAGTCTGCAGGATCTGCTCGGGGTAGGGGGTGCCGACAACTGGCACTCACTGGCAGTGCATAATGAACGCACAGAACTGGAACTAGACTCGGGTAAGAGGCGCATGAAACCCACACACACATACATAAGTATCATCCCATTCCATTTTCCCGCAGACACAACCCTCCAGTTGTTGTCCAATCTTTCCGACTTGGATCTATCTGCCGTGCAGCAACTAAATCTACGCACTCGCGGCTTCTCCTCGCTGCCCAATTTGCGGCACTTGAACATCAGCGGCTGCGGTCTGGCCGAGCTTCGTGGCAGCCACTTTGCGGCTGAGTCAGCGCTGCAGCAGCTCGATGCCAGCCACAATCGCCTGGAGCTGCTCACAAAGGACGTTCTTCGCAATCTACGCAAATTGATTTATGCCAATTTCTCACACAATGCGCTGACCGACTGTGAGCTGCCCCACTTGCCGCTGCTCAATCGCCTGGAACTTGGCCACAATCGGCTGGTTAATGTCAGCTTCGGGGTCTGTCCGCAGTTGCAGCAGCTGCTGCTCCAGGGGAATCGCCTCGCACAGGTGAGTCAGCAGAAACTGAAACGAACGCATCCGCCTGTCATTTGTGTGCTTAGGTGTGGGATTTGATCTAGTCAACGGCCCATGATGGCACTTCGCCTGGCGAGTTACACAATTATACTAAGAATCAAACCCAAGCCTCACTTTCTGTCTAAACTTTCCCTTGGCAGTTGCATGTGAGCGCTTTTCGCGGTCTGCATGGTCTGCTGGAGCTGCAGCTCAGTGGCAACGGACTGTCACTTATTGCCCAGGAAACCTTTCTGCCGCTCAATCAGCTGCGAGTGCTGAATCTCTCCCACAATGCACTCGACGCGCTGCGACCCAATGTGTTTGGAGCGGCTCAAAACTTTGTGCTGAATCTGCAGCAGCTGGATCTGGCTGCGAATCGCATACGCCTGCTGTTCGACAATCAATTCAGGGTGCTGCCACGACTGCAGCTATTGGATTTGTCCCGGAACAGCATTGCCAGCCTGAGCGGCGGTCACTTTGTGGGTTTGGGCTCGCTGCGCAAGCTTTATCTGCAGTCCAACGATATATTGGAGATCAAGCCGGATGCATTTGCGGCACTGCCCAACCTGGACACGCTGGATCTGTCGCACAACAGCCTGGAGTACTTCGAGGAGCAGGCCTTTGGTGGCAACACCATGACGCGACTGCGCAGGCTCAACCTGAATGCCAATCGTCTGAAGCGCCTGCATCCGCTGGCCTTCTCCTCGCTGCCCTACCTCGAGTACCTAAGGCTGGGGCACAACGAACTGGCCAGCCTGGACGTGCGCATGTTTGCACCCATGCGGCATCTGCAGAAACTTCATTTGGGTCACAATGCGCTGGAGGAGATCACCAGCGATGTCATGGACTGCCTGAGCAGCGTCATGGAGCTGCTCATCGATCACAACAGACTCACATATCTGAGTGCTGGCAACGACACCTTTCCCAGCCTGAATCGCATTGCCATTGAGGGGAATCCCTGGCAGTGCAGCTGCTTCGTGGAGCTGCAGCAGTGGCTGACCGCCAAGCGCGTGACGTACCTGCGCGAGAACACGGGCTACTACAAGGGCGAGCGACCGCTTTGTGTCATCACAGCGGTGGATTATTGTATACGCAACTTGCAGGCTGCACGACGCCAGAATGTGCACGCAGAGTTCGATGAGGTGGAGCAGGCGGACACGGATGAGAACGATGCCAGTGTAGCGGCAGACTGAAAGAGTAAACTTAAGCAGCAAGAGGGTATCACAAAACAAAGGAAGATTAATTTTGTAGACAGCTTCCATTTATCATGAACTAAACGACAACTTCATAGAGAATGTTTCTCAGACACGGAGCCTTGCATTGCGTGTGGTGTAGATATATGATGTATCATCGTGCGGGTTGTGGTTGTGTCTCGACTGTGTTTAAATGTACAATTTAGCAACTAAAAACTCGAGTCGTTTAGGCGGTCTTGACGCGCTGAGCAAGGGCGCTCAGATCGGCAATGCACTTGTTGAGTGTCTCCTTCTCCTGCTGGGGCGAGATGCTGGCCAGCACATTGCTGGTGATCCAGTTGACCATGTGCTTCTGGCTGAGACGACGCTCAACGTGACGGCACTCCACCTGGTAGTCCAAGCGACGCTTGACCTCCGAGTACACGTTCATGGCACGCTCGCGGAATGCGGCCTCCAGCTGCAAGGCAATGTTCTCCTTCTTGGCATCCATCAGGAGCAAGGCACCATCGGCGCGCCATTGCTCCTTCTTCTCAGCCTCGATGGCATCGGCCAGAACCTTGAGCTCGCCCTCGCGGCCCTCCTTCCACTCGTTTTCGATTTTCTACAGCGGGAATTAGGGGATTAGCTACCATTGGAGAAGCTTTATATGTGATTCTCTGTGACTTACATCGATCTCACCATCAGCCCACTTGGCAATCACTGGGCCGAGCTTCTTCACAGCAATAATGGCCATGATGCCCAGCGACAGACCGCTGTAGTATTCGTGCTCCATGACGTAAATCTCCTTGGAGCACAGGTAGGTGATCAAACCCACGCCGAATGTGTAGGGACCGGTGACACCGGTCTTGTTGTAGAAGAACTGGAACCACTCCTCTGGCACAAAGCCCAGGCGCACCTTGCCGGGATGTTCGGGACGCTGGCGACGCTCGATGGAGCCGCTGCCAGACTGAGCAGCTGCGGCAGCAGCCGACCGAGTGGCAGCCACGGTCAGTGGGCGCTGGGCTGCAAGGCATTAGAGACCAAAATAATTAGTTTCTTTATATTGTTATGTTTACCACTGCCAAGAATGTGTTTGCAAAAACTTATACATAATTCTACGTTTGCACTGGGAGGTGGGTGATGGTGATTACATAAACCACGATGTCCGTCGTTTTTTGCGGTGCCGTAACAATTTTCACGGTCGCGTGCCGCAGCTTATTATGTACACAGCGATTAAGCTATACTTTGTCGCGACATTTGCGGTTGTTTTGCACTATTTCTGGGGTTTACCTGTAAGTAGGGCAGCTCTGGAGAACATTTTTTGGCTGTTTCGACGAATTTGCTAAAATTGAATCGCCTATGACAGATGACAGCAGTGTGACCGCTGAATTATCAATATACCGCAAAACTCCAAATATATATCTAAATATACGGTCTCATATTTAAAATATACCGTAGTTTTATGTCACATTACTCGATTTTGATGTTCTATTTGGTATTACTAGCTATTTAGGTGTCTCAGCGCTAAAACTATAATTTTATCCGATTGATAAGTCAATTCTCCACAAGATTAGCATACAACGTTACGCTAGTGGGAATGAAATGGAGGGATATTGTTGCGATGAACATTTTGCGGTAGCCCCACAGATATACTAAAACATATATAAACATATTACCTAAACCTCCCTCTTTTAAGCAATAAATATGTGTATTTCCATTCCAGTCCATTCATGTTCATAATTTCAATATTTTCTTGTTCACAAAATTGGAAATGATCGAAGCACACAAAAATATCGGTAAATGGAGCGAGCAAGCTTGAATTGGCGTCGTGTCGTTTCCCAGCACAGCTTTCGAGACTTTTTTTACCGCACTGTTTCTGTAGGCGGTGTATTCAAAAATGCACATCATACATATAACTTATTTCATTTCATAACTTTACAAGTTTTTATTTTAAAAATATTACAATTTGCTAAATAAATTGTGCCTAAAATAATATGAATTAGCTGCGAAACAAGTTGCATTAAAATACTTTTACAAAATACTATAGAAACAGCGAACAGAACAGAGTTTTGAAAGGGTGTTTGTGTTTGTGTTGTTGTTGGGTTGTTTATGCTTCGATGCTACATATTAGGATACATAGTACATTCGTTACTCGTTCTCAGTTCAAAGCTATTTTCGTGCAGATTCCATAAATTAAGCATTAAAGCGTAAGCATCTTTGTTGTGTTTTTGTCGCTAAACTAAATGACTGTCTTGTGCGTGGAACTTAAGAAACAAACAAAAAATACAAAAATTATAAACGGAAACATACATGCATACATACTACACATACACACATTAAATGTAGTACATGGAATATGTGTCCAAACAGAAAGTATCAAAACATAAATCACTTGCGCGCACAGTTGCAATAAAAACTATTTACAGCAGCGAACAAATATCATTTAAAACGTAATAATACACATACATATACTAGATCAAATTATTATCTTTACATCTTTCAACTTATATGCTCAACTCTTGTTCTTCTCTCTTTTCTTTGTTGTGTTTTTGTTTTGTTTTGTTGTATAAAAACGAAATGATCTGCAGGAGGTATTCATGCCTAACATTTATAATGAAGGTGTGTAGGTGTGTAGGTGTGTGTCTGTGTGCTATTATTTATATATATATGTTCTTGTATGTGCTGAGTAGCATGACATAACATAATGAATGCTATGCAACCACTCAAAATCAGAATTAAAATTGTTTTTGTGACTCGGAAGAATGCCGTTTTTGTGTGTGTGTGTGGCTTGTGTCAGTCCTGTGGCTCATTCAATAAAGTTGAAGCGCATCAGCAGCTTGTGGTAGAACCAACGCACCACCTGCTGCACACGAGAGCCCATCCACGCACAGAGTGTGCTGGTGTGACGCACCTTGGAGGCGTAGTGCTTGATGTGATCTGTGTGGCAGAGAGTTAAGAGGGCAACCAAAAGTACAGCGAACAAACAGGCAATAAAGTAAAAGCATTTTGAAAAAGGATATAATAGTGTCCAAGGTGGATGGCCGCCGTTTATGTAGTTCACGTAGGTGAAGCCGTCCTTGCCCTTGCCCCTGATGTTGTAGTAGTAGGGCAGGAACGAGTGTAGCGTGAATCTGCAAGAGGAATGTGGCGTTAATAAGCGGCAGACACGCAAGCTCTATACTGTGTCCCTGGGGAAGGGTTTACCTTCGCTTTTCATAGAAAAATATGGCAGGTTGGTTGGTGGTCAGCGTATGCAGGAAGATTGCCTTCACCGAGTGTCGTTCGACCGTCGTCAGGTGGTTCATGAGGGCATCCAGCAGCAGCGATCCGATCCCATTGCGTCGATGCGATCGATGCACGCCCAGGGACAGTATGTAGCCAACGTCCGCGGTGCGACCCATCGAGTCGGGCAATATACCCTTGTCCTGCATTGGAAAACCGCTCAGCCTGGTGTACAATTCATCACTATCACTCATATTGGCTATTACCTCCTTATTGACATTTCGGTACGGTTTGATTTCGGCAACGATTAAACCAATTATGGCCAGATTATATACAGCTGCCAGCGCAAAGAAGCGCGTGCTTGAGGTAATATCCTCATACCATGAGAGTGGATAGTCAATTGGAAACCATTCTTGGCACAGTTGCCGCACCTGCAACGTATAGATGGACAGAGATTTATCTTTCGCTTTCATTTACACACTCAAAATTGTGTCACTCACCTCGGTCAGGTCATCGGGCACCAGGAATCTTAGCTGTACGTCGTTGGCGGAGCATAGAGGGACATGCTCACAGTCCACGCGTGTAATATCGTTGCTGGGCGGCGCATTGTGTTTGTTGTAGCTGATCCAAGGCCCCCCAAAAAACCACAAAATAAATGATAATTTCATGATATGTGAGTATTAGTTGTCGCCGATTTCACTTGCATAATACGAGCTGCGACGAGTGTGCGACGAGTGGAGGTGTCGTTGCGTTGCGGTGCGGCGCGGCGCGGCGCGGCGCGGGCTAGCCATCAATAGATAAACAAAGCTCAATTCGACGGAAGCCGCGCCACAGAGCGCAACAACACCAACGTAGTAATCTGATTCTTGGGCTCAGTGTGTGGACTGCGTGCGACCCCATTTAGGGACTTTGCTGATGATGACTATGCACACCGAATAGTCATCTACTTATACTCACAGTGTAAATTGTGCCATCCTAGTGTAACTGTGGGTGCTCCGCTGCTGCTGCTCTGTCCAATTAGACCAATTATGTCCATTGGTTGCAGCACCGCCACGACCACGACCACCGACCACCGACTGAACAGGTTAAGCGCGGAATATCGTCGCTCACCCAATAAGCATACGGAGTGGGATTGGTTTGACTTGGTTTGGTTAAGGTTTTGGGTGCGTGTTTGCGGTGTGTGCGCCTAATTGATTTTAATTAAAATTTACATTCGTCTTCGGGGAGCGAACTAGAAACCACTTGCTCACGGGCGATTCGTTTCGTTTCGATTCTACTGCTTGCTGGCAACCAGCTGAATCTCCGTTATAATGTTACCCAAATCGTTCTGCTGCACTTCTGTGGCATGCCGCTGCTGGTGCCCGCCTGGTCAAATGCCGCATTCCATTAGGAAATGCTCCATTTCGTTTATTTTATTCGCCACAAGAATTAACAAAAACAAAACACCAGCAGAATTCGATAACAGCACAAGTCGACGACACGGTCATCGATATGTTAAATTTAAGCGACGTAAGAACATGTTACGTTAGACAGTCAATGTGATCTCTTGCATTATGCAGCACTGGCTGTTTGTTTTAAAAGTTGCGCGCGGACTCAATCATTTGTTGAATAAATAAAATGTTTGGATAATTATTTTAAATCTGAAAGGGCTTTGCAAGCAACAAGCTTTTTAATTAATTAATTCATTGTTGTAGCTATCTAAAACCTTCTCGCTTGACCCACCGCCTGGGAAGAGCTGGGCGTTGGCGCCGTCGGCTTTGAGGGATCCTCGAGGACACGCACCATCATGGAGGACTTGGGGCCAGTGCACCAAATAGTGCCATGCTCATCGACCACGAACGTTTCCAGCGTCACCTGGAAGTGGCCACCGCTCGATATGGGCAGCAGGAAGCTGCCGGAGAGGAAGTCGCGCTGCGGCTTGACGATCTGATTGAGGGTGACGGTGTCGCTGGTGCCGGGTTTCTGCAGCTCGTTGCCGGACCGCGGTGGTGGCGTCACCAGCTGGGAGGTAAGACTCAGCTGCACGGACTCGACACGGCGGAAGTGCTTGACCTGCTTGGAGCCAGCCTGCTGCAGGACGCCCTCCACTTTGATGACCAAATTGCTGCCCGACTGAACGTTGACGGGTTCGGTGGCGCTGCGTGGCTGTGGGCTGACCGACAGCTTGATCTGCGTGGACTGCAGAATCTGGAAGAAGTAGCGCGGCAGGCAGAGCGGCGTCTTGGTGATTATCTCGATTTGTGCCACAATCACATCCAAATGCCGATTGCTGATGGTCTTCGCGCTGGGCAGCTCCTCGGGCAGGTTCTTGTGCATCAGCTCCATGCGCCGGCAGCTGGCGGCAAAGAAGCGCGTCTCCGGGTGCTCGCCGGTGGTCAGAAAGACCGGTGGCTCTGGCGGCGTGGCATAGCAAATCGATTCGATGATGTGCGCAAAGAGCGCGCACTGGAACTCGGCCACCTCCAGGAACTCCAGCGTCACGTTGTCCGCATCAAAGGAGGACTTGTAGAGTCGCGCATGCGTCTCCTCGCACGCCTTCAGCGACTTGACCAGCTTCCGCAGCTGATTGGTGACGTGTCCAAACTTTTGCAAGTAGTCCCGCGAGTTCTGGGCCAAGCTGCCAGCAATGGCAGGCGGTGGGACAATCACCTGCGCGTTCTTCACGGTCACCGCGAGGTGCAGCGTCTGCAGGAACTGCGCTCTGATCTTGAGGTACTCCTGCGGAAAGGAAATGGCATACTGAATCGAGGAGCAGGCACGCAGGCTGACGCGTGCCATCTGATACAGATTGCAGGCAGCCTCCAGTCGCTTCATTAGCGGAATCAGTGGCTCGGGCGCCGCTGTCGGTGCATAGTTATCCCTCATGTGCGCATAGTCCAGGCCATAGTTGAGGATGCACTCTGCCTGCGAGATCTGCGAGAGTGTCACCAGAAAGTAGTGCATCTGATCGTTGATCACAATCTCCGAAATGCTCGTGTAAATGTGCGCAGCCACATAATGATGCCCATAGCGACTGGCGCTCCTCGCAATCTTGTACAGTGTCCAACAGTTGAGCTTGTCCAGGCACTTCTCGAAGCACTGCACCACTTTCAGCGGCAGATAGCAGCCCATTGTGGTCTGAAATACGAGCACGCTGAGTATCTCAATTGTGCGCAAGTGTTTCTCCGCATCCACCGCATCTATGAGCTTGTTCAGCTTGTGCAGAATGATGGGCATGCGCGCGAGCATGGGATTGACCTGCAAGTGGCAGAGAATTAATCTTGGATTCACATGGAACACAGCTTTCTGTAACCTACCTTTGCTTGTGGCTGCTCGTCTGTGTCCATGGCATTGTCGTCACCCTCCTCCAGTCCCTCGGATGTGCTAAAGGCATACTTACGCAGCTGAAAGTGCTCGCAGAGACGCACCAGCGCCTCGCATATCAGCTCCGCATTGGCCTGCGGATAGACAACATTATCGCCCAGCGTATTGCTGACAATCTCAATGAAAGTCGCGCCAAACTCCGCATTGGCCTGGCTTATCCTAATGCCATAGGATAGCACACGACGCAGATGGCGCAGACAGTCGGCTCTCCGGGCCGTGCACAGCAGCAGCCCCTCGATGTGCAGACTCACAGTGTGCAGGATGTCGTCCACTTGGCTCTCCTGCTGCGTGCCAAAGGCAGCCAGCACCGAGAGCACAGCCATGGCCTGAGTGGCCGTCGTGTAGTCATCCAGCTTGCTCATGCTCTGAATGCAGAGACGAAGCAGTTGGACACGATGCTCGCGCAGCAGCTGCTGGCAGGTGAGCGGACACTCGCTCAGCTTGGCGAGGATCGAGAGGAAGAGAAATTGCTCGTGCGAACTGATGCAGGCATCGAATTTGCCAATGAGCGCAGCCAGCGCAGGCTTGGGCCAGGCGTGAACACTCTTCTTGCCGGCCAGTTCGTTGAAGGAGCGCAGCACCTGGATGCGCACGGGCGTGCGCAGGTCCTGCATGAAGTCCAGCAGCACCTCGAGCTGGCCGGGCACACCGACCAGCGTGCGGGCGGAGAGTTGGGTGAGCGTGTCGATGATGGCCACGACAAAACTCTGCGCCGGATACTTGGGCAGCAGATCCATGCAGAGTTTGTTGACCAGAGCGGCGGTGTTGGCGTCGTGATGCATGTGCCGCAGCACGGGGATGAGCAGCAGCTTCATGGGCACCGGCACCTGCAGCGATTCGATCATGTCCGAGATCTTGGCGCACATGCTGATGGCAAAGGAGCTGGACTGGGCGGCAAAGCAGCTACTAGCATAGATGGCAGCCTCCACCTCGACGGTGTCGTGGCTGTCGAGGGCGCGACGTATGGCATGGTGGACCTGCTGCTTCTCGGGTATCACGCGGGACACCGCGCCCAGGGTGCGCAGGAGCAGAGCACGTGCCACCGGATCGTTCGAGTGCATCACCATAAAGATGCGGCGCACAAAGTTGTCAATGTTGAGGATCTTGTCCAGGTGATTCTCGCTCTGCTGGCAAACGCGCAGCACCCAGAAGCGCAACAGATTCGAGCCACTCACAAAGAACTCGGCCAGCTTGATGAACGACGAGTTGATCAGTATGGGAAACGGATACTTCTCAAAGAGACGCGGAAAGCGTACAATGGACTCGCATTGGATGCCCTGCTTGGCGCTCCGCAGTCCCTTGTCCAGTTCCAGGAGCACAGAATTGGGATCCTGCTCATTCTCGTTCAGAAAACATTCGTTGAAGGAGCTCACCCGTGTGCTGCTAAAGTGTGACATGTTCGCGTATGTTTGCACTCGCTATTATTGCTATTTATGGTGAATTCTAGTTAATATTTAATTATTTATATTTCCAAACAAACCGGCCGGAATTATCGATAAGACATACCGTCAGTACCCTCAAAAATATACCAAAGTACCTTCTCATTTTAAAAATATACCATAGTCCTAAATCAAATTCCTCGATTTTTATGTTCTATTTGATATTACTTGCTTGCAAACACTTGTAACACTGATACGTTAATTTAATCCGATTGAAGAATTAATATGGCTTATTATAAATACTCATTTTAATAGGATTGTATACCTCATATTTTACAAATTTATATGGTTTGTTGCCAGCTGCAACACTGGTTGTAGATGCCAGAACAGTCGATTCTTTCGATTTGATCTATAGCGTATTTTGCAACACCAGCCAGGCCAAGCCATTTCGTGATTTTTGTTTTTAAATGAATTATGTTTGTTCTAACGAAAGGCAAGTATATGTACCAATATATAATGCTCTTTCTAATGCATTGTAATCTGCAGATGATGAGAAGTTCGTGTTGTTGCCCAATAAACCCGTCTACACCGTCGGTCGCTTGTTAACCGATTTGATCCTGCTGGAGGACCTCAGCATCAGTCGCACTCATGCCCGCTTGCACCTGCCGCGTGAGAGGGATGGGGTGCTTCAAATAGAAGATATAGGCTCCAAGTACGGCACCTTCCTCAACAACGACATTGCCAGAAACAAGAAAATGCCACCAAACACACTGACGCCACTGCCAGTCGGGTTTAAGGTGCGCTTTGGCGGCAGCCGCAACATTTGGCAGGTAACTCAGATGAAACTGGTGAGCGCTGTATCTGCGTTGTCCAACGATCAAGTGAAGGAGCTGGGCATGCTCCTGGCAGCCATGGGCGGCTCTTTGTGTTTAAACTGGGGAGACGCCGACGAGTGCACGCATCTGACGATGAACGAGGCCACAGTGACCGTGAAGCTGCTGCACGCCCTCCTGGAGAACAAACCCATTGTAACCTTTGAATATTGGCGCAAGCTGCTAGCGGCAGCCCAAGGCATACACGTGCGTGAAGACTGGCCACAGCCCGAAGACTACCAACCCACAAACATGGACCTCAGTTGGCGTCCCGAGCGCACCACTTTGTTTGCAAAGAAAACTTTTGTCTTTATGAATCGGCGGCACTTTGAGATCTACGGCGCAGTTGTGCGCAAGGCAGGCGCACTGTGCAAGGATCTCCATTCGGGTGTACGCAAAACATTTCTCACCAAAAAGGATGTCATCGTGATACAATATGTGCCCTCAACGCAGTCCCAGTCAACGGAGACTATCAACAGCATTCAGGGTAGGTTCAGGCGAGGCTTCCTGCTGCTCCCTTTAATAACTTTGTTCTTGCAGACATCCTGGAACAGGCTGGACTCCGCATCATTCAAGAGTATGAGATCGGCATGGCACTGCTGCGCTGCTCCACCAAAGAATTTTGCAATCCTTCGCACAAGCTCATCAGCGATTCGATGCCCACCACAGAGTCCATGACTTCGTCATTCAATTGCTCCATTCTGGCGCCAAACACGGAGGAGCGCAGCGAGACCAATCCGTCTGCTCTTCCTATCTCGGAACTGTTCGTGCCCGAGTCGAATGTGTATAAGTTGGAACCGGAAAGCGCTAAGCCCGAAACAGAGCCGCAAGCGCCTCAAAGCAGACGTCAGAAACGGGGTCGCCCCATCATCGTAGACTCCTCGGATGAGGAGCAAGAGGCAAGCAAAAAGAAGAAATCGTTGGAGGTGCCCGCAGTGAAGCCAAAGCCTTGGAACAAAAATGCCATACTGGTGGACTCCTCCGATGAGGAACAAACAGAAAAGCCAAAGGAAGACAAGCCCAAAGCCAACACAAGGCAGTCGACACGCGGCAAAGCGAACACGGTAAATGTATCGAAACCAGAACCTGCCAGACGTTCGACGAGAAATGCAACAAAGCCAACTCCAGCTGTGGCCGCTGCTTCAGATAGCGAGGACGACGACTCGGCGCTCTTTCAATTTACGGAAAAACCGCAAGAGCAACAACCTCCAAAGCCAGCCGAAACGAGCGCCAAACCGCCAGCCAAAATTCGTGTCATCAATTTTCTGGAAAAAACACAGCCGCAAGCGAGTGTCCCCGCACCGTCGCAGTTGCAGCCGCAGCCCCGCAAGCGTTTGCGCCTGAAGCTATTGAACGAAAGCGACAGCGATGACTGCGACAATTTGTTTAACTTTGACAGCGACAGCAAGAAGCAAAAGAAGGCAGACGCAGAGCACACAAACGAAGACTCCAACGATGGGTTGTTCAACTTTCAAACACACAATCGGAACGACTCAGAGGATCAAAATGAGGACGATGTGCTGACGGAGCCCTTTCTGACCAATGAGACGAAGCGACCGCAGTCCAAGTACGTTGTGTTTCCACGTAAAGCGCTGCCACGCAAGATCGATACCAGTGGCTGGCTATCATGTAGCAGGCTACATAATGAGACCAAAGCTGAGGCGAATCTAAGCGGGCAAATGGAGAGCTCATCCCCAGCAGGCGATGACATTGCTCTCGAACATTCCATCAAAGAAGAGACGCACACAAAGTGGCTGGCTTCCATTCAGCACAGCATTCAGGTGCGTCCCTTTGAGGCACCGCCCTCTCTGAGCGGCCGCAAGAACTTTAAGAAGTTCGTCAAGGTGAGTAGCAGATGGATTGAGCTCTTAACTGATTGCAGTAACACCGTCATCCATTTGTGTCTCCTTCACAGCAAAAAGTTGTGCATTATCACCGCGAAAGTGTGAGCCTACAGCGCCTGCAGCTGGCCGACGGCATTGTCTCGTCTGCCTAGGAGCACACATCTTTTGCTTTGGTTTTCTCTTTGTATTATAATTTACTAACAATAAACTTGCGAAATATGTTCAAAGCCTTCTCTGGATCCTTGTTGGCCCTACGATAGAAGAGCGTCTGTGCGCTCATCCAGTCGTGCTTGTATATGTCCCTGGTTATGCAGCTCGTTGGTTTTTTGTCCCTGGCTTTTGTTTCACGCCCAATAAAACGTTTCACATCCTTGACAGTACGCAGCGTGTCCATATTGAATTCCATCTTCGCAGGCCGCTCCTTGCGGGCAAGCACAGTGCCCACGTCAGCTTTGGCCTCCAGGCGGGCCTTCTCCGCTTTTGTGACTATGGTGGGTGGTTTAAGCAGCACAGACTCGGGAGCTTCAGGAGCACTGGCCTCAGCCTGCAGTTGGACGCGTTGCAGTTGTGCCGGCAGCTGGCAGTTTTCGGGCAGAAATTTGTGGTTTTCCACCTGCGGAAAGTTAACGCAGTGCGGGCGCAATTTGTTGTACAGGCTGGCACTTCTGTTGGCCTGCAGCTTGCTCAGTTTGTTGATCTTGGCGATGGCTGCCAGGAGCAACGTCAGCGTCTCCATGAAGTAGTTATTTCTCAGCAATTGAATGAAATATCTGGCCGCTGACACACAGCACTCGCGTATGCGTGCATGCAGATGATAGAAGCCCAGCAGGCGCACCAAAATGTACTCAAAGTTGCTGCGGGTGGGCATGGCACCCGCCAGCTCGCCGTCGCACACAACGCCGCGAAAGTGTTCCAGCTCGCGGGGCAGATCCAGGCGCAGCAGACGACACAGCGCGGTGTTCAGCTTACACACGGATCGAAAGCCGGGCATATTTCGAAAGGAGTTCTTGCGGCGCGCCATAAGACGGCCGATCAGTGCCGCCGTTTGATCAAAGTCCTCAGCGTCCGGCTCGGACAACTGTTGCAGGTATCGGTTGATCAGCACAAAAACGTTATTTGCTGTGAATTGAGATGTTAGAAATGGGTAAGCCGAAATTATGGGTGGGACTTACCGAAAGCTGTGTCCTCCACCTGCAGGGTGACCAGCGGTGGCCTCTTTAATTGAAAATCATTCAAAAAACACGAAAATTCGGCCATGCTTGAACAAAAAGTAAATAAAGAAACGATTTACAAGAAACTGCTATCGATATACTTGCCAATCGAAACAGCTGTTTGTCTTTCAATGTCAGATCAGTGTTGCCAACTGAGCTATGTTTCCACTAGTTCTAGGTAGCGGGAATTATAGCTATTTTCCAAGATATTTTTCTGTCAAAATTATGAAGTGCAAGCAGAATGCTGAAAGAATATATGGGCATATCTGACTTACTTAAATTCAGTTGCGGAAGACGAACTTGAATACAAATACATTTTTAATACTCTACTCAAAGGAGACAGCTAAAGACAGCTAAAAAGCTGTCAACAAAATTTCCTGGCCATTTCTAGCTCAGCTTTTTATGACCCGAAGAGTTGGCAGCACTGTGTCAGACGGAAGTTTTCCCTATCGCGAACCAATTCACCTACAGAAGCTGTTGCGTGTACGCCGTGTACGCCTTCTGCTGAATTATTTTTATTATAAATTGTTATTGAGAGCGAGCGTGTCAGTGTGTGTGAGTGTATTCAAACATGCTAGTCATCAACACTTGCAGAAATACAGCGAGGCTGGTGCAGAGGAGCACCTGGATAAGAAACAGCTTCCCCATAATCGGTCCATCAATTAGCTCGCGCACTTTCTCGCTGGGCCTGGCCTTGAGAAAGCAAGATGTGTGAGTGCCGTGTGCCCGCTGTGTTTATGAATGGCATTCCTGACAATTACTACATCGCATCTATTGATTGCAGCGTTAACGTAACCTTTGTACGTGCCAATGGCACCAAGATCGAGACATCCGGCAAGGTGGGCGACTCCCTGCTCGATGTGGTGGTCAACAACAATGTGGACCTTGACGGCTTTGGCGCCTGCGAGGGCACACTAACCTGCTCCACGTGTCACCTGATCTTCAAGACCAACGACTTTGAGAAGCTGCCCGACAAGCCCGGCGATGAGGAGATGGACATGCTGGATCTGGCCTACGAACTGACGGACACCTCGCGTCTGGGCTGCCAAATTACGCTGTCCAAAGATATGGATGGCCTGGAAGTGCATGTGCCGTCCACTATCAATGATGCACGCGCCGCGTAGAGCTCGCCCGCACTCCCCGAACCCGGACATAGTTGTTACGCTTTTTGTTTTTGCTGTTTGAGGGCTAGATACTGTCCTACCAGGCAGTCATCCTCAGGCTATTATATAGATGCGTGCATAAATTGTTGTGTTTCCATGCCAATTTATGCGCCGATTGGTTGTTGATTTTACGGTGTTAAGCTCAAAGGGATCCATAGATAAATAATGTAAATATGTGTTTAACCAATAAATTTACATGTATTTTCGTACAAGATGTTGTTGACTTGTTGTGGAGGGGTTTCCGCCAGGTATTTTGCTATTCCTAGAACATTTCATCATGCTTTAGCTTTGTTATCGATAAGGATTGCATTTGCTTTGTTTGCCAGGCCAGCGGCGGCGATAAAAGTTGTAGAGATAATGGGCAGGCAGGCGGCCACTCAGCCAAAAGATATGATAGCTTAATAAAAGTAAACTTTTTATTCATGTCGCAGCTATCAAATAAAGTAATAAATAAATAATTTAATATATACATCTGCTATATTAACTTATTGGTAGACGATTTTAATGCTTTTCCACGTGTGCCGCCGATTTACGATATACGATTTACGATATACGATATATAATATGTAGGTATTGTATATGTATATGTAACATTTTGAACGCCCTATCTGTTGCTACCAGATATCTCTCTCTCATTATCATTATTATAATATATGTATAACTGAAACTTAACAAAGTCTGACAATAGAACGAAATTTACGCCGCAATTTCGTATGTTTCAAGTTCGATTTTCCGTTAATAACTAAGGAAATCCTAGGATAGATAAGCATTTAGGGTAGCTAGATAGGTCGGGTGGGGGCAGGCAGAGTGGTAAAAGATATAGAAACCATTCGAGACGCGTGGCAGCTCAATAAATAACCAAAAAATAAATAAATAGTGGGATGAGTGGGATCCTGCAGAAACAACTTACAAGGTGACGTCTTCACCACGGGCACTCTCTGCCGCTTAGCTTTTTGAGCGTGGTGAATAAGTTAGCGGAGAACGTCACCTTGTTGGTAATTTAACCATGAGTGGGTATGAGAATGACAAAGGAGGGGAGGTGAATCCATTTAGTGCACATAAAACTGATTAGGTTTTCTGTTCACGCCGTTTCGTCGTTGCTGCTGATCGATGATTGCATTTCCTCTTTAGTTCACGTAAGCCATGCCCGCGCCCTTGCGATCAAAGTGACGCACACGCACAAAGAGAAAGGCGGCGACTAGAGAGGCAACGGCCAGGACGAGCAGCAGCATCACGAGGCCACCCACAAAGCTGGGCACCGACATGCAAATGGTTTCGGCATCGGCGGAGCGTGCCGACTGAATCACCACCGTCTCGTTGCTGGCATTGCTGTTGAGGGCAAAGTTGACATCGCCCGGCGCCACCACCTGTATGATGCGGCTCGTGTTCACGTCCGTCATCTCCTGTGCGTTGCGCTTGTAGATGCGCTGCGGCTTCACCACAATGTCCATGGTGTCGCGACGCCGGCGCACGCCCCTCAAGTCATCGAGACCCTCAACGGAACGCGGGCGTCCGCCCAGCGAGACCAGATTGCCGCCAGCACTGAGGTCATCCTTGCGCTTCACGGTGCTGTACTGTCCAGGCTGGCCGGGCAGTGGCGGTGGTGGCAGACCCAACTCGTTGCTGCTGGCCTGTGCCTGTTGGGGCGACTGAGAGCTGGCTGGTCCAGAGCCCGGTCCTGCTGCAGAGTCGGCTGTGGGCACGGCGGAGGAAGTCTGAGCCTGGGGCGAGGGCACCACATCGGGTTGGTTCTCGGAGTACGCGCCAGTGGCATCGGAGGCGGGATGGCGTGGATCGGGATATGCTGCTGGGGGCAGACCGCCCAAAGCAAAGTCGTTGCGTTCGTAAGCCTCGGGTGGACCGTACTCCTCGGACACACCGTTGCCGCCCAGCTGGGGCAGACCATACTCGCCGCCGGGCAGGCCGGGGCCGCACTTGGGCTCGGGGCAGTTGTAGCGGCACACCTGGATGACGCACTGGAAGTGCACGTTCATGGAGTCGGGGAACTTGAAGGCCTGGAAGTACGCGAAGCTCACAACGGAGGCCGAGGGCCCAAAGTTCTTAATCTTCTGGAACTTGCTCATAATCTTGGGCCGCACAACGCAACCGTTCTGATCCACCAGCTGTATGGGCGCCCGCTTGCCGTCATGCGCCACGCAGTTGCGGACCAGCATATCAAACTTATTCTCATCGTCCTTGATGGCCAGCACCATGGTCATGGTTTGTCCAATCTTCACAATGCCAGAGACCTCGGAGGCCCAGGGTCCCTTGCCCACTTGGATCTGCATCCAGCACTGGAGATTGTCGCCCAGGAAATTCGCAGTCACCGCGTGCAGCATGTCCACCTGGAAGGGCCTGAAGGTCACGGCCTTCTCGTAGAAGTCGTACCAGGTGCAGCGCAGCTTGCGTGCCTGATCCCACACCTCCTGCACGTAAGGATCGTACTGAATGATGATGGTGTTCTCGACGTAGCTGCCCGAGGGCGTGGGTGCGCCGTAGCCAGCCGCATTGTGATTGGCCGAGCTGGTCATGCCGCAGCTATTCAGGAAGATCTCAAAGGTGGCGCTCAGGTGGCCAGTGCCCGGCTTGAGGTGCACACAATGCGGATCGCTGTAGAAGCCCTTGGAGAAGATCATGCCATAGAAGGGTCGATCGAACTCAATGTTCACCCGCATGTGGGTCTTCTCGCACTGCACCTGCAGATGCTTGATCTGCGGACTGTCGTTGGTGCTGGCCAGCGGCCAGGCCTCCTCGGACAGATCATTGGTGGCGCCAGTGCTCAATGGACCCTGTGGTGCGCCATATATGGGCGCCGGTGGCCCATAGCCAGCTCTGTGTTCCAGTGGCAGGGCA